GCACCACATCCTGCGGGGACAGGGGGGACGGGCAGCGGGGACAGGGGGGACCCCGCCACCCCCTGCCCCGCCACCCACCCCCCGCCCTCACCGAGACACTGTAGTGCCCGGGGGGAGCGATGTAGGTGACGGTGCCCCGGCTGCGCGGCGGCACCATGATCTTGTGCTGGATGAGAGAGTTCTCGGCCACCGTCCCGTAGATGTCACCGCCGGGTGACGTGGCTCCCGACCTGCCGGGGGGGGCTGTGAGGACGCGGGACCCCAACGGGGATGGGCTGCGTCCCCTCCGGGGGTGCTGGGCGACCAGGGGTGTCCCCCCCGTCCCCAGGAGGCACACGGGGACACGCACCCGCACGTCCTTGCTGGGGACGAAGTCCCAGGAGAGGTGGCGCGGCAGCGCGGGGACGCTGGCGCCCCGCGGGATGTAGATGCTGCGGGTGAGCTGGGCGATGTCCCGCAGCGGGCGCTGGATCCCGTCAAAGATGGAGCCCAGGATGCCGGGTCCCAGCTCCACCGAGAGCGGCTTCCCCGTGCGCAGCACCGGGTCCCCCACCCGCACCCCCGCTGCCCCCGCGCTCAGGAAAGGCCACCGGCGAGATGGGGACAGGGAGGGGACGAGGGAGACAGGACAGGGGGACGGGGAGGGGACGGAGGGAACAGGACAGGGTGGGGAGGACACTGGAGGGGCAGGGAAGGATGGGGGACGGGGGGGCAGGGGACACAGGACAGGGGGACAGGGAGGGGACAAGGTGGGACACCAGAGGGGCAGGAAAATATGGGAGGACAGGGCAGGATGGGGATGGGGGGGGGACATCAGACAGGCAGAAAAATATGGTGGCTGGGGGGGCTGAGGGGGACAGGGGAGACAGGACAGGGGCACAGGGAGGGAACAGAGGGGCTGGCGGGGACAGGGCAGGATGGGAGGGGGGGGCACCGGGGGGGCAGGAAAAAATGGGGGGGCAGGGCAGGATGGGGGACACGGATGCTGGGGGGGAGAGGAGAGACAGGACAGGGCAGGATGGGGGACAGGGGGGACACCAGAGGCGCAGGAAAATATGGGGGGGTAGGGGGCTGAGGGGGACAGGGAGGGGACAGGGGTGCTGGGGGGGTCAGGATGGGGGGACAAGGCAGGACAGGAGGACGGGGGGTGGGAACAGGGTGGGCAGGACAAGGGGACAGCAGGGACAGGAGGGGGGGACGGGGGTAAGCAGGGAGGGGGACGGGAGGGAGGGAAGGGCAGGACGGGGAGATGGGGGGGGGGACGGGGGGGCAGGATACACGTCTCCTCGTAGACCTGGAGCGTGGCCGTGTCCCCCTCCAGCCGGATGATCTCCCCCACCAGCTCCGCGTGCCCCACGCGCACCAGCTCGTACATGGCCGCCCCCGCCATGCGGGTGGCCGTCACCACTGCGGGGGGGACACGCCGCCGTCACCCCCGGCCCCAGACACGGGGGGGGCTCCCCCAGACCCGACTCGGGGCCAGGGAGACCGGGGGGGGCCCCCCCCACCCCGTACCGGGCCCCGAGACACCGTGGACGCAGCCCAGCAGACTCTCCCGCTCAGCCCCCTCCATGGCCCCCCCCCCCGGCCCCGCCGGCCCCCCCGTTATATGGGGAACCGTGGGTGGGGGCTGTGTACAGTCAACAACGGCCGCCCCCGCCCCCTCCCGCGCCACCCCAAGGCACCAGAACGCACCGGTACGCACCGGCTGGCACCCGCCCTGTGCAGGGTGACGGTGTCACCCCCGCCCCCCCCCAGTCCCTGCCTTTCGGGGTGTCCCCACCCCCACGCTGGGGTCTCCCCGAAGCACTGAAGGCACTGGGGGGGGCGGGGTGTGGGCCCCCCATGAGCTGCGATCCCACGGGTGACAGGGGGGGACCGCCTCCCTCCCCCCCCCCCCCCACGGAAGCACCGCAGATTTTGGTGGCCAGAGCAAGAAAACAGCGGCCGAGAGTAACCTGGTGCCACCTGCCCCCCCCCCGCAACACCCCCAAAGTGCCACCTCCCCCGGGGACAGGGGGACCAGTGGCACTGGGGCACCCCGTGGTGAGCTGAGCTGGGGGAACTGCCCCCCCGCCACCGCGGGGCTGTACCCCACTTGTCCCGCGACCCCCTACCCCCCCCCCCCGCAAAGTCCCACAGCCTGGGAAGCGGCAGCCACCCTCAGAAAAAAAAAAAAAACAAAACACAAATATTTATTTAACAAAAAAGCACGGGAGGCGCAGCAGTAAATAGCGGCGGGGGGGGCTCTAGGAGACCAGGACGCCGGCGGAGCCGCCCTTGGCCCCCGCCCCCTCGGGCCCCTCCTTGGGGGGCTGCTTGGGGTCGTCCTCCCCCACCAAGCGAATGTTGTGCTTCTCCCGAAACTCGTTCAGCTCCCGGCCCTTCGCCTGCAGCTGCTGGTTCAGCGTCTCGATGATTTTGCTGAGCTGGGGGGGGGGCGGGGATGTGGAAAACAGACCTAAACCCCCGGAGCAGGGAGGGGGGGGGGGCGGGGGGGTCCCTCACCTGCTCCCTGTTGCTCTCCAGCGCCGGCAGCACCTCCTTCACGGTTCGCTCCACCAAGATGCCGCCCACCATGCGGTAACATTTCCGCGTGGGATCCACCTCCCGCAGCGTCTCGATCACCAGGCTGGGGGGGCAGAGGAGGGTGAGCGCCGAGGGGCCCCCCCGGCCCCCCCCCGGCCCCCCCCCCCCACCGCCCCCCCCCACCTGTGCTCGTTCAGCTCCAGCTCCAGCTCGGCCGCCTTCGAGGCCAGGCCCCGCTGCTCCTGCCGCAGCCGGTTGAACCGGGACACGACCTGCGGGGACACGCGCGGTGACGGGGCTGCGACCCCCTCCCCCGGTGCCCCCCGCCCCCCCCCCCCGCACCTGCTCCGCCGTCAGCGCTTTCCCCCCGGGCGCGGCCGCCGCCCGACCCTTCGCGCTGTCCGCCATCTTCGCCCCCCCCCCCCCACCTCCTGCCCCTTCCCCACGCCGCGGGACACGCCCCTTCCGCCGCGGACCGGAAGCGCGGGCGGGGCCCGGGCGGGCTGTTCTGGGTCGATGGCAGCGGCGCCATCTTTGTTGCGGGCGCGACTGGGGGGGGGACTTTGCCCGCTCCCCCTCCGGGCATGTACGGGCCGGGGGGGTGGGATTTGGGGCACATCGGGCCGTGAAGGGTGGGGATAATAGGGCCTGGGGGCAGGTGGGCGGGCTGCCGGGGGGCCGGGCTCGGGCGCTTGGGGGTGCCTGGGGCAGTTTGGGGGGTGCTGGGGCAGTTTGGGGGTCCTGGGACAGAGCTGGGGCAGTTTGGGGGGTGCTGGGGCAGTTTGGGGGTCCTGGGACAGAGCTGGGGCAGTTTGGGGGGTGCTGGGGCAGTTTGGGGGTCCTGGGACAGAGCTGGGGCAGTTTGGGGGGCTCTGGGGCAGTTTGGGGGTCCTGGGACAGAGCTGGGGCAGTTTGGGGGGCCCTGGGGCAGTTTGGGGGTCCTGGGACAGAGCTGGGGCAGTTTGGGGGGTGCTGGGGCAGTTTGGGGGGTGCTGGGACAGAGCTGGGGGGTGCTGGGACAGAGCTGGGGCAGTTTGGGGGGTGCTGGGGCAGTTTGGGGGGTGCTGGGACAGAGCTGGGGCAGTTTGGGGGGTGCTGGGACAGTTTGGGGGCCCTGGGACAGAGCTGGGGCAGTTTGGGGGGTGCTGGGACAGTTTGGGGGCCCTGGGACAGAGCTGGGGCAGTTTGGGGGCCCTGGGACAGAGCTGGGGCAGTTTGGGGGGTATGGGGTCAGTTTGGGGGAGTGTTGGGTCGGTTTGGGGGCCCTGGGGCGGTTTGTGGGGTGCTGGGGGGGGGGCTGGTGCCATCCCCTTGGCTGTCGGGGCTGTGTAACTCCCCCCGGCACAGGGTCTGGCAGCAGCCGTGACACCCCCTTCCCCCCCCCCCAGGCTGAGCGCGGTGCCCCGGGCCCTGCTGCGCTGCCGCCCGCTCCCCGCGCCCGCCCGCACCCCGAGACGCCAGCACAGCGCCGGTGCCGCGGGCCCCCCCCGACGCTGGTGCCCCCCACCTGCCCCGCACCCCATGGCGGGTCCCGGGGGGCTGAAGCCGCTGGTGGCCGTGGGCCAGGTCACCTCCACGCCCGACAAGGAGCTGAACTTCGCCACCTGCGCCGGGCTGGTGCGGGAGGCGGCGCAGCGCGGCGCCTGCCTCGTCTTCCTCCCCGAGGGCTTCGACTACATCGGCTCCGACCCGGCGCAGACCCTCCGCCTGTCCGAGGGGCTGGACGGGGACCTCATGGGACGCTACACCGAGCTGGCCAGGTACCAGTGGTGACCCCCACCCGCCCCCCAGCACCCCCGGCGGGACGGAGCCGGAGCCGGGGTGACCCGGGGTCCCCCGTCCCCAGGGAGTGCGGCGTGTGGCTGTCCCTGGGCGGCTTCCACGAGCGCGGCCAGGACTGGCCGACCACGCAGCGCATCTACAACTGCCACGTGCTGCTGGACCCCTCAGGTGAGAGCCCCCAGCCCCGACCGGGGGAGTCCCCCCGGCCCCATGGACGCCCCCCCCCCATCCCACACCCTCTCGTCCCCAGGTAAACTGGTGGCCGCCTACAGAAAGACCCACCTGTGTGACGTGGAGCTGCCAGGACGCGCTGTCATGAAGGAGAGCAGCTTCACCAACCCCGGCGCCGAGATCGTGCCCCCCATCAGCACGCCGGCGGGGAAGGTACGGGACGGATGGGGACCTCCAGGGTCCCCCAACCTCCGCCCCCCGGCGCCCTGTCCTCGCTGACGTCCCCTCCTCGTCCCCGCCAGCTCGGCCTCTCCATCTGCTACGACCTGCGCTTCCCCGAGATCTCGCTGGCGCTGCGGCGTGCCGGCGCCGAGATCCTCACCTACCCCTCGGCCTTCACCGTCCCCACGGGCTCGGCGCACTGGGAGGTGAGCTCAGCACCCCCCAGCACCTCCAGCCTCTGCCCCTCGCCCCCACGGGGCTGGGGACGTGCCGGGGAGGGCTGAGCCCTCACCCCAATCCAGCAGGGAGCGAGCGGGGATAAATCCTCCAGCCACGGGGGGAAAATTTAAGACACAAAGCCTCTTTTTCTGGGTATTTCCGCGCTGTGGTGCCCCCCCCCACCCCCCCGTCCCCCCGCAGGTGCTGCTGCGGGCCCGGGCCATCGAGAGCCAGTGCTACGTGGCGGCGGCTGCCCAAACCGGGATGAACCACGAGCGCCGGACGTCCTACGGCCACGCGCTGGTGGTGGACCCCTGGGGCGCCGTGGTGGCCCAGTGCCGCGAGGGAACCGGGCTCTGCTACGCCGAGATTGACCTCGAGTACCTGCGCCGCGTCCGCCGGGAGGTCCCGGTGCACGGCCACCGCCGGCCCGACCTCTACGGCACCGTGGGGCTGGCGCCGGCGCCCTGAGCCCCTCCCCGCTGCCGTGAAAGCCAGAGCGGGGCCAAATCTGCTCTGCTTCAGACCGTTTCTCGCCAAAACGCGGCAGCAGGATGGGCTCAGGGCTCCCTGTGCCACAGCCAGGTGTGTCCCCCCCACCTTTTTTCCCCCCAGGGTGCCCCCCTCCCACTGCTGGGGGGGTCGGGGTGCCCCCCAGCCCAGGCAGGGTCGGAAGGAAGGAGCCAGGCGCTGCGGTAGATGTTTATTTCAAGAAACCCGAAAGCTACACAGGGAATATGACCATTATATTGAAGTTTAAAAAATACAGAAGTCACAGAAATTACACCAAGTTGTGCCAGAATCGTCCGTAAGCAGGGGGGGGTGGGGGGTGGGCCGCGTGCCCCCGGGAGGGGGGGGGGCCCACACGCACCACAAGTCCCAGGGGGCTGCCCCCCACCCAGGAGGCAGCCAAGCAGGGACAGGGAAAGAAAAACCACAAAACCAGGATGAAGCTGGGAAAAAAACCCCACCCCCACCCCAGGGACCCGTAGGCAGCAGGTTGGGGGGGGACACAGACGGCCATTTGGGGGGCTCTGCGGGGACAGGGAGCCAGGGCGTGGGCTGGGTGGCCCCGGGCGAGGAGCGCGGGCTGGCGGCCCCCCCCAGGGCGAGCAGGCAGAGGCTGGGCTGCCTGCTGCCAGCAACAGGCACAGCCCCGCGCCCCGACCTGCCCCGGGGCCCCGCTCAGCCCAGGCGCCAGCTGCAGAGGGGGGGGACAGGGACAGGGACAGAGCCAGGCAGCCCTGGAGGGGACAGGCAAGAGATTTCGGAGCGTCCCTCGGCGCTGGTCCTCCCCCCCGGCCCCCGCAGGGGAGGGGGACACGAAGGCACATGGTCCAGGGGACACCGCAGGGACGGTTTTACTCCTGAGAAACCCACTGAGGCGATGGGGGGGTGTGGGGGGTGTGTGTGGGGGGGGTGTGTCATTGGAGGGAGAACCCAGGGGCTGGGGGGGGGGAATGCTGCCCCCAGGGCTTCCCCTGGCACACGGAGCCCCCCCCGGACGGTGAACACAAGGGGAGGAGGGGGACAAAGCCACCCCCAAAGCTGGCGTGGGCACCACGGGGCTGAGCCCACCATGGTACAAACCTCTGCCGAGCCCCCCCAGCACGCCCAGCCCCAGCACTGATGCGCCCCAGGCAGGGTTTTTGCCTTTTTTTTTTGTTTTGTTTTGTTTTTAATGGATACAAAATAAAGAGAAAAAAGGAAAACAAAGCGAGAGAGGAGGTGACAGGACAGGAAAGGGGCGAGGACACACGTAAGCCTCCGGCGCTCCCCGTGGCTCCAGCCCGGCTCCGAACCCAGAGTCGCACAGTACCGGGTGGGGGTTTCAATCATCTTTTCCTTTTCTTTTAGAAAAAAAAAAAAAAAAAGGGAAAAAAAAAAAAAAAAAAAAAAGGAGAAGGAAAAAGCTTGGATCCCACCGAGCAGCCGTCAGGGAGCCGTCTGCAGCATCAAGTTCCTCAGGAGTTTCTGGCGCCCGACCTCGTAATCCTCCTCGTCCACATTGACCAGCAGTTTGATGGCTTCGTGGCCCACGGCTTGTTTGAGCGAGTCCGTGATGAAGACGCCCTTGAGGGCTTCCAGCAAGGAGCCGTTGATGTAATCGCGCCAGAACGCGTCGAGGTAGGTGAGCTCTGAGAATTTTATGTCACAGATGATGGAGCCCAGGTCCCGGGACTTCAGGATGGTGTTGGCCTGGTTGAAGCGCTCGAACTGGCGCTCCAAGGGGTCCTGCTTGTTGGAGAAGACGTTGCCCTGAAGCGCCGTCTCGTGCTGGCAGTACTCGGCTCGGACTCGCAGGCGGATGTCTGAGGGAAGCGGGGAGAGCCATGAGTGCTCCGGCGTGGGGCCGGGAACCCCCAAATCCCCCCCGAGCCCTCCCGGAGGCTCTTACCACAGGTCTGCTTCTCCTTAGGGTCCGGCGTCGCCGACTTCCTCCTCTTGCGCTGGCTGCTGAGGAGGGTCCTGCCGCGGCCGGGCCTCTTGGTACAGATCTGGGGTCCCGCGGGGGAGCAGCAGACCACGGGGTGGTGGGGAGGCACTGTGTGGGGAGAGGACGGGGGTCAGGGGACACCGAGACCCCCCCCAAGCTCGGGGGGCCTCTCGCCCTTGCTGGTCACACTCCAAATGTGTGTTTGAGCGCTTCTGCTCCATCCCCGACACCGAGCTCCAGCCCTTCCCTCCTTTCTATGCCGCTGTCACCCCCCAGTTGTGCCCCCCTGTCCCGGGACACTCATCCCAAGGGGCCTCGGGCAGCCCCAGGAGCCTGCGCAAGCCCCGAGAGGGGAACCCCGAATCACACCCCAAGACCAACCAGCCTCCCCGCAGCACCACCGTTACGGGGAGCAGTGTCAAACTCTGCACTTGACTGTCCCCCAAACTTGCAGCAGCAGGGTCAGACGTCACTTCAGCGGTGACAGAACGAGTCCCTGTGCTCCCAGTGGGAGCAGAGAAGGCAAGACTGGGATGGTCCCGACGAATTCCCCCCGACTGAGCCCGGGGTCTGGCAGCGGGTACCTGCACCCACCTGATTTATGGGGGTGGCCGAGCCCGTGCTCTGCCTCGCTGTGAGCTCGGGGCGTCACGTAGCGAATGGACGTCTCCTCCAGGTACTTGTCCACCAGGTCCGGGCACACTGGAAGAGACAGAGGACACGGGTCGCTTCAAGGAGGGACCGAGAGATCCCTCCTGGCGCGGAGGAGCTGCTCTGCATCCCCCTGAGTGCGGCTGCATGTCCAGGGGCCGTTTCTCCAGCCAGTCCTCTCAGAAAATCTCCGTTTGGGAGCCAAGCCCTCCCAGCCGCGGCGCAGGAAAGGCCGAATCCGTTTGTTATCACAGCTGATCCCAACACCCGGACTCGGAGCAGACCGGCGGCGCCGCGCACGCACAATCCCCGGGAGAACCTCGGGGCGAGGCGGGCAGGGCCCCGGCACCGCTCCCACACCCCACCGGTCACACGTGCCCGCCGGCCGCTCACACCAGCCCCGGATTCATCTCGAGCTCCCGCAGCTCGTGGTGGTCTGAGCAAAGGTCTGGGGGAGCAGCCACCACTCCTCCTCCTCCTCCTCCACGGCCCCCCTAGAGCAGAGCCGGGGCGGGGGGACGGAGACACAGCAGCAGCTCCAGGCCCCCGGGCCGGACCTGGCTGCTTGAATTGCTTTAGGACAAACTGGCACGCACCCAAAACCTTAAGCTTACATTATTTACCCAACTTTAGCAGAGCAAACTTTCGGCGTAACACGGGGCTTTGAGGAGAGTCAAGCTGCTGAGCAGAAGCAGCTGCTGAGCAAAGATTACGGGGAAAAATTAGCTATTTTGGAGGGCCGTGACATTTTCTGCGGGTTGTTTTTGTCCTGTTTGGCGAGCTCAGAGCCCTGCCTGTCCCCAGGCAGGATCCCTCCCATCCCCGCCGGACCGAAGCCGGCCAGGGCTGCGTGTCCCCGGCCCCCCCACCGCTCCCTGCCCTCGCCCAGCCGGCTCCAGCTGCGCCGAGCTAATTCAGGACGGGGTCTTGCTGCCTTTCAGCGCCACGAATACGAATGAGGCAGGAGGAGACAAGACCTCCCGCTGCTGCGGGGTCTGGAAGGGCACGGGAACCAGAAACGAGCGTCAGCTCGCTAGGTCCGGAGGAGACTTCCTTTAACCAAGAATCCCTCCTCTTTAAATGCAAAGCGCTACGCATTATAAACCACATGTAAGGTGCCTTTCTTCATAAAGCTTTTTGAAATGCTATTTCTGCGCATTTAATTAAACCGTTTCCACCCGAGCGTGGCTGGAGACATCGCAGGAACGAGATCTCACGGGTAGGGAGCATCGCTCCTCGCGCGACAGCGGCGTGCGGAGACCTGAGCGCCGACCTGCGGCTCCCCGACCGCGTGGGCACCGCGCTCCGATCCGATACCCATCCCTCCATCTCACCCGGAGAACGCCAAACCCTGGCGTGGGGAGGGCTCGCCTGGCCTCAGCCGACCGAGGTACAGCTGCCGAGTGACCCTTCAGTTTGGAATCCTGCACTGAACGAGCCAAAAAGCTGCTCGAGAAACACGAAGCAGGGCTGCGACACCCCCAAACCCTACGCACACCGGGGCCCCGCCGTGCGCCCCGTGGAACTGCCACCACGGAAACCTCCCCCCAACCCAATCCAAGCGCCGCCCAGCCCGTCTGCATAACCTGCCCCCCTCCTGCTCTCCCCTTGCCCCTCGTTTTTCTCGGCTCGGCGCAGGAGCAGTGCCGGAAGGCAACGCCGGCAAACAGCCGCCTGCACCCAGCCCTGCGAGGGGCTCGGCCCGCAGCCACGGCCGCGAACGGGCTGGGACCCATCCCCGGCACAGAGCGCGCTCCCAGCCCCCAGAAAATGCCAGATAACGGGAAAACCCTCACGGCGCCTGGCCTGAGCCCGCAGGGGTGCAGGGCGAGGTGCAGGCAGGGCTCAGGCTCCGTCCCACGAGGCCCATCCGGGCTGGAAGATTCTGGCCTTTCGGTGGGGCTCAAGGCAGCAGCGTCCCTGGCCCGATGCTGCTTAAAAAGCGACTGGAGCACAAAAACCCCGTTAATTTTCAAGTCAGCTGGCCCAGCTTCCCGCTCGCGGGGCTCGTTCACACCGTCCCTCCTCTCACCCCCCCAGGACCCGGGAGGTTTTAATGCCTGCCTCTACTTGTGCTCACCGCTTTCCCAAGCGCTGGCAGGGAACAGCACCGCTGCCCACGGGGCGAGCAGAAACCGGGAAGACTCAGCAGCCTGGAACTGCCAAGAAAGCCCAATTATCCTAATTTAAAGCAAAAATGCAAATTTTGAGAGGCTGAATCCTGCTGGAGCAGCTGCCTTACGCATCCCCTGCAACAAGTGCTCTCTCCTTCATGACTCCTCTGGTTCTGGTTGATCTGGGTTACGTCCTTTGAACTGTAAATTGAGGATTTTAGCGAAAAAAAAAGGCACAGGGCCAAGCTGGTGGAGGGCAGGGTGTCAGCTCAGCCTGGCAGCTCTATGAAGTGACCAAAAACTCACAAAATTATCCAAATATCCAGGTCACTGTTGGGGTCTCCAAGCCAGGAGAGAGCAGGGGGAAAAGGGGCAGCCAGGAGGGGAGGGTTTGGGGCACCCCACTGGAAAATGGGTGAAAAAAAAAAAAAAAAAAAAAAATCTGAACTTGGACATGGGTTTCTCACTCCGGCCTCACTGCGTACTGCACGCCCCAGGACTGACAGCACCAGCTCGGGGAGGATGTCGGGTGCCTTCCCAAACTCACCTCAGCCCCGAGAGGATGAGCAGGTTCCCCCCGAAGCCGATGGCGCCTCAAGCACAGCACCACGAGCTTCCCCGGATCCTCCCAGCTCCTTCTCGCCCCCTGGCACAGCCCCGGGGCTGCCCACGGCATCTCGCCCCAGGCAGGAATTTGGGCCAAAAGGAGCATTTCCCTGAAAACTAGAGACGAGCAGCAGGAGCTGGGAGCCGCGCAGCGCGCAGCAGGAATCCCAGTTCTCTGCTGCTGAAGAAAGGAGACCTTGGCGCTTGCCACAAACGAAACAAGGCTTTAACCCCCCCAAAACTCTGCGTGGGCACTCGCTAAAGCCCCGTAACACGCCCCTTGGCCTGCCCTGCCTGCATTTCCCCGCGGCTCTGGCAGTTTGTCCTTACAAGCCTCAGGGTCCTTTAGCCACGGCGTCTCCAGGGCGCCAGGAGAGGAACATCAGGGGACAGCTGAGTAACGAAGCGGGCTTCGTTAGGGAGCGGGCCAGGCTGCCAGCAGCGCCACTTACCGGCCCGTCGCCTCTTGAGGGTGACGTAGGGCAGCAGGTCGTGGCGCGTGATGATCCGCAGCAACTGCAGCACCTGCCGAAAGTTGGTCTCGTCGCAGCGGCCCTGCCGCTCCAGCGCCAGCAAGAAGTCCCGGCCGCTGCGGATCATCCCCCTCTCGTAGTCGTCGATCACGTCCACGAAGAGGAAGGAGAGCACCCGCACGTCCCGGTGGGTCAGGTGCGTGCCCACGATGTCGAACATGCGGTGCAGGCTGTACAGCCCGTGCTCCCGGTCGCCCCGCTCCTCCGGCCAGGCTTGTGCTCGGCTCCGTTTGAAGGTGGCCATCTTCCACCGCAGCGGGCACGCGCCGAGCCAGGGGCTCCTCTCAGCACCGCAACCCTGGAAGACAGAGAGCCAGCGGGATTTAATCCCTTCCCTCCCGGTACTTGATTAAAAACCCCGCTCTGCATCCCCCCGCCACATCGCCACGTTTGGCAGCGACTCGTCCTCTCCTCTGCCAGAGCATCGTACACCAAAAATCGAGGGTTGGGCACCAGGCCGACGGCACTGGCCTCTGCCACGTTGACTTAGGAACCCAAACACCGTCTGGCAGAGACACCGAAGAGCTACAGGGCTCCAGGCCGTGATGCAGGCGAGGACCGATGTCCTCCACCCCCGCAGAACGAGTCCCCACATCCCCTGGCAAAGCCGAGCGGGCGGCTCGACAGCCCCAGCTAAACCCTCCGCCGCCGCACCGGTGGGCACCGACCGCGCGAAGCCATTCGGCGCAGCCACCGGCATCGCACCAAAACATCAAGGGAGAAGGAAATCAGCCGCTCGGCAGGCCCCGACCTGTTGGGCTTGGAAGTCGGAGCAGAGCAAGCCTCGTCAGACTGGCTTCAGCGGCTGACTCGGGGCTCACCCTCCTCATCTCAGCAGGTTTCTCACCCGGTTACAGCCCCCCCGGGCAAGTTCCTCGTCGCTCTGCCGTCACCCGGCTCTTTCAGCGGCATCGGCAGCTTCGTTTCTTCACCAAGAGCCATGGGGAGTCACGCACCCCGCCGAAAAGAGGAGGGCCCCGCAGGAGCCCCAGCCCTGCCTGGCCTCCTTTGGGCGCCATGCGCTGTCACAGCGCAGCGGGTGACATGAAGGTGCCCCGTGCCTGGGAACGGCACCGTGACACCGCACGGAGTCAGCCGTGACACACGCCGGGGGCCGGTGACGAGCCGTTCGGCCACGCGGTGACAGGGTTACGAGTGAACCACACCGCCCGGCCTGCTGGGCGCCGGGGCACCCCCGGGCTGTGCAGGGGGGGCTTCGGACCCCCAAGGCGCACTTAAACCCCCGCGGCGAGCCTCAGGCTCGGGGCTGCTGGTAGCACCCATGGCAAAAAGGCCCCTGCCACGGGCACAGCCTCAGTGCGCCGGCACCTGGGGGGGGGGGGGGGTCACGCTGTTGTTGCTTCAGGGTTTTACCCCAAAACGACAGCCCTCGTTAGAGGAGGGGGGTGCGGAGCCCCCCTGCCCCGTGGCAGAGCCGAGGTCACGGTCCGGTACCGTCGGCAGCTCCCTGCTCCATCCGGCACCGGGCCACGGCTGCTCTTCCCTCGGGAGCTCGCCCCAGCCCGGCCGGCCCCACCACGGAGCAGCTTTGCCTGGTTACAGTTCCCAAAACAGAGGCAGCAGCGGCGTAAACACGGGACACCAGCAAGAATCTCCCGACTATTCCCGGCACGGCTGGTGACTCACGCTCCGGCCCCAGGCAGGCGGGGAGCCCTCGGCCACCAGCGCTCAATGGGAGGGTTTTAATTCCTATCATAAAATGCAAATAGCTTAAATTAAAAACGTGTTGAGTGACTGCGGCTCTGAAAACAGTCTGACACGGCTCTGCCTACTCCAGCTGGGGAGGAGAGGGCAACAGATACTCTACAGCTTCCTCCTAAGTAGGAAAGACATTTCAATATAGCTTCTAGTGAAGATATTTCTTGGCACAAACAGCCTGTAGCCATCTCCACGCAGGGGAGAGGGGAGAAAAATCAGAATAAAGCACCCTGGTTCTCCTCCAACCTGGAAGCTGAGCCACATCAGCTCCACGGAGAAGTCCGAGTGCACTGGGCTGCGGCCCAGCACATCCCAGGAGAGGGGACGGATTTCTCCCGTCTTGCAAACCCTGCGAAAGCCAAGTCATGGAGAGGCCTTTACCAGGAGCTGCGGCTGCATCACGACAGGACATCAACGGGCAGCACGGGGTAATTTTGGGAACACAGAATCAAAGTGTAAAAAAAAAAAAAAAAAAAAAAATTATGGCAAACCATCCTTAGTGTGGACAGTTGGTGTCACGAGCGGAAAAAGCACCGCGCGCAACCAGAGCGTTTGCCAAGAGCCACATTCCGAGCTGCCGGTGAAGCCGCCGGCGCTCCCCGGCCGCCCCGGGCTGGTTGTGGTGCTGCAGCGCCAGCGCCCACCAGTAACCGAGCGCCCGTGCCCCTCGTCTGACAGCCGGGCGTCCCGGTGCCCGCCGGCCCCGCTCAGCTCACACCCACCCGCCGGGGGTGCCACGGGTGCCGCACACCCGCCCTGGCCGGGGGGGCTACAGATATTCCTGCACAAAGCAAAATACACAAGAAACAGGCGCCGGCGAGGCCTCTGCTTTCTTCCCAGTGTCCTGTAAACAGCTCCCAGATAAAAAAAACTGAACACAAACCCACACGGCCTCTTATCAGCTGACTGCCCGGAGATTTACCCCACGTCACCCTCCCCAGAAACCCGACCTCTGTCCCCGGAGCAGCGCCCGTTCCGTTCCGTTCCGCCGCCCCGCAGAACTGGGAGGAACCGCCCAAACCTGGGCAGCCGCTCTCTGGGACCCTCTCTGGGAGCATTTCATTTAAAATGGCCCATTTTTCTGCAGTCAGATTTGCCAAGTACCGGGTTGCATAAACTCAAGGCAGAAATTAGGCAGATGCTCTCTTTTGACTATTTAGTACCAACCACCCTGGAATTACATGGCATTTTTCCTTCCAGGGAGGCAAAAAAAAAAAAGAGGCAACTTGACGCTGTGCTGCCTAAACACAAGAAATTCGGCAGAAAAAGACTTTGTGTGTGGGGGAAGTACTGAGTCCCGAGGGGCAGTTCCTTGTAGCTGCACCACCCAAAAACCACAAAAAGCTGTCAAATTTATTTTCAAGCAGGGGATTCCAGCAGCCGCTACTTGGAAGAGATCCCTGCTTCCCCTCGCCTCTGGCTCTCCTCCCACCTTAAACCCACAGGATCGGAAGACTGGAGCAGCTTTGCTCTGCACATACATTAAAAAAAAAAAAAAAACTAAAATCCTTTGATTTTCCTCAAGAAACAGCCCCGTCGTGAGTGTAGGGAGCAGGAAGGATCTCCCAGCGGAGCACGAGAAGCTGCCTGTGCCCCAGTTCACTGATGGCACTGGGGCAGGAACCGTGCGTCCCCAGAGACCCCTGCCCACCCCCAGCACAAACAAGCAGCACATCACGCCCGCTCAGGAGGAGACTTTCCTCAAGAGGAGACTTTCGGTTGCACTCCAGGATCATTAAAATAATTTAAGGCGAACAGGAAAAACAAGCTCTTGGTGCCTACAAAGCTCTGCAGTTAATCAGCCCGAGCCTTACTCAACCCCCATGGATGCTGGGGCTTTTTGCCACTGACGTGCAGGTAACTATCACAAAAACCCACCTCCTGACAGCACATTCCTGCCCGGATGGGGCTCAGAAGTCACAAAACCCAACTTCAAGTCGAAATTTGGCTCTGAGGTGAAATTTCCGGAGCAGCCCAATCCCAGCCTCCTCCGTCCGGCGCGCTGCAAACAGATGCGAGGGAGACACCTAGTCGCGTTTTCGCCGCAGCCCAGCCCAGCCCCGACCCTGCTCCACTCGGCCAGGGCTGAGGATGAACGGCGCCGCGGAGCCGCGGCAGGCGCGCGGAGCCCGAGGCAGAACCAGGACCCAAACACCAATTTTCCCAACGCGCCCCATTACCAAAGAGCAGGAAACGCAAACAGAAACAAACAGCCAAACGCTTTGGTTTCACCACCCAGGCAGCAGTTAACAGGGAGATCTCTTCCTCTCCTCTCCAGACACCTTCAACCTGAAACTGCCTTTGCAAAAAGCAATTAGACCCGAGTCGTTCCGGCTGCCCAGCTCAGCCCAGCTCTCCTCCCGACAGCTCCTGCGGTCACTATCACACCAAGCACACGTTTCTTTTCCTCCCCTTCCTTGGGAAGGAGCTCGGCCGCCCTGCAGCTCCCCGCACACGTACGGATCCCGTCCGTCGCGATGGCAGCCCTGGCCTCGAGCTCGGGAGCCGCTCGCCGAGGCCACTCGGCTGCTGCCGGTTTTTTGTGGAACCGAGCACCCAGCCACACAGGTCAGGAATCCTCCCGATCCCCGGGGCGGCAGACAGATGGGACACTGCCCGTGGTGACCGTGGTGCCTGTCCCAGCACACTCGCCGCCCCAAGGCATCACACCCGGCGGACAGGTACCCTCAGCTGACAAACTCGCTACGGGACGAGAGGGATTAATGGGAAAAGCGGGGACATAAACAGTTCCTGCTGCACAGAGGAGGAACCGGTCAAAGGGAGCCGAGAAGAAATAAGATTAATCCATGTTTGCCCTCTTTGGAGGGGTTTATTTTGCCCTTGCCCCTGCAGCACTCCATGTCAGTGCTGGTGAGGGGACAGCAGGTCCGTGCTGGTACAAGAACACCCGCAGGGCAGAAAAAGATCCTAAACCCACTGCTAATGAGAGCAAACCCCCTAACCCCAGCCTGGCAAAAGAGGAGGGGAGCGGGCACGGCCATCCCCGGACACCCCGGCAGGGAAGGCCGGAGGAGGAGGAGGAGGAGGAGGAAGTGCTCAGCCACGCTGCGTCACTGGACAAAGTCTTCCTAACCCCACGAGAACGAGCCAGACGCAAAAACAGTTCTGCTAGCAGTTGTTCCAGGGTAGGACTGGGTCGTTTTGTTTGTTGGTTTTGGTTTTTTTTTTTTTTTTCTTGGTGCATGGGTTTAGTTGGGGGAGGGTAATTTTTATTTTTAAGTGCAGGAAGCGCTTTTCACTTCAATTCATCACCTGTTCCAATTCCCATCACCTCAATTAATCTAATTTCTGCCGCCGAGCAGCCTCGATTTCCAACGCCACTAATGGCTGCCCTGGCTGGCGCCGGCAAATGGGCCCCACAGAAACAGCCCCCTCCGGTTGCTGCGGGGGTGCCGAGCGCTGGGAACGGTGCCCGAGCCACTGCGCACCGACGGGGGGAAAAAAGGGGCAAAACCCTAACGAAATACCCGAAGCCGGAACCTCCCCGAGCCTCCCCTACGCCGGCACGTACCCGCAGGCGCCGCTCGAGCCGTGGAAACGGGAGCGCGGGCAGGGGCCGCGGCGTCACCGACGTCAGCCGGGCAGCGCCCGCCCGGTGCCCCCCGGTGAACACCGATCGCCCTTCCCACCGGCAAAAAGGCACCCGACGGGGATTCACCTGCGGCCAAGCCTCCCAAACTTCTCCGAGTCAGGACAATTAGCCAAACCGCGAAGTTATTAACGCGGGCAGGCGCCCGTCCGACCCCAGAGAGAAATCTCGGCGGGCAGCGAGGCCGGATTCTGTGCGCGGAGGATGGAGCCGCTCCCCATCTGTCCTGACGGCACAAGGCCCACGCGAGCAGCTCCTTCACGGGGCGGAGGGACGGGCGAATCGTTAGTACGTCAGAAAAAAGCCCAAAACGTACATAGGTGCACCCACCTTAACGAGGAGCTCTTCTGGTCTTGCTTATATCCACACTTCGAACAGCAGCCAAGCGAGAGTGTTTTTAAGAAGTCTTCTATCCCCTTTTCTCCTTGACTTTTTAAATAAACTACCCAACAAAACCGCGGCAGCGCCTGCAGTTTCACGTATGGCTCTTGCAGCGCGGAAGCCAAACGTCCAGAGTCGGGTACCGGCGGTCAGTGTTAAAGCTGGTCGACTTGCCAGAAGCCACCCAAATTTTTTTTTTTTTTTCCTCCAAAACCTTCTCTTTTTCCTACTTAATAATTTATTGACATAGGGAGGAGGAAAATTAAAAGTCCAGAACTCACCCTGCGCTCTCTAGGTCATTTCTTTTTTAAAAAAAGACCATTCCTGAAGAACTACCTCCCCTGTTCCCTTCTTACCAGCAGGACTTAACGCCGGCCTCACAGACGCAGGCAATGGGCAGGGTGCTCAGATTACCTTAAACCTCGATTTGCTTTCTTTGTATAGCAATTCCCCCCGAAACTGGATCGGGTGAAGTGATAAACCTTAATAACGAAGCCAAGAGAAGGTCACCTGAACTGGGTTATTCTTTTAAAATTCAGCCCATACCTTCTCCTCTGCGCTTACTCGCAATCAGAGCGCCCGTCTCCTTCCCGGGACCAGTTTATCCCCCAGGACACGGCCAGCTCGGCAAGCTGGGCCCAGCGCCTCGTCCCAGCCTCCGCAGCCACGCTGCCCTACGCCTCTATTAAATACTCAAAAATAAAAACTCTGGCTCTTCCAGAAGCGAAGCTTAAAGCTCCCGAAAATATTGCGCGAAACGACCCGGCCGGGGTTACCCGGAGGCGGCCAAGGCTTCGCTGCGCGGCTCTTCCCTCTCCGTTACCGGCACCTCCCGCAGCCCGGCCCCGGCCCCGGCCCCCCCGCAGCCCGGGAGCCCCCGAGGCTTTTCAAAGCTTCTCGGTCGGAGCTCCGGGAACCGGAGCGGCCCTGTCTTCTCCCCGCCGGGCCCCGGGAGCGGCAGCGGCGGGGAGGGCGGCGAGGGGCCGCCGGCCCGAGGGGGCTGCCCCGCGGGTGGCCGAGGAGAGCGGCTCGGCGGCCCCCGCTAAGCCCCCATCCCGCGGGACCCGCGGCCTCTCCTGCGCTGCCGCTGCCCGGTACCGGGCCGCGCCGAGGGCGGGGGGGGGGGGGGGGAAGGCGGCCTGGGCCCGGGCCCGTCCCCTCACGCACAGGCGCCGCCGAGGAGCCCTCTCACACCGCCCCCGCCATGCCCGCCGGCTCGGCCCCCGCTCCGCTGCGCCGGCCCCGCTGCGGGGCTGCCCGGGCTGAGGCCGCCGCGGCCTCGGGCTCAGGCCCGGCCCAGGCTCGGCGCCGCCATGTTGGCTCCGTCCGCTCCGCTCCCCGCTCGCAGGCGGCCGCCGCGGCTGCGGAGCGACGCAACATCCGGGGCCGCGGCCCCGCCCCTCCACGCCTGGGCCCCGCCCACCTCTCCGCCTTCACTCCGGTTGGGGAAGGCGGGCTGAGCGGCGCCCTCTTGGATAAGGGCAAGGGGGCGGGCCCATCCGGGTCACGGGCCGGCGGCTTCAGCGCCCTTCGGGAACACCGGAGCGCCGCTGCCATGTTGGACGAGGGCAAGCTGGCAAGGCAGCCACGCCCGTCAGTCACGTGGGGGCACGGCCGCCATCTCGGGAGAGGGCAGGCGGGGTCCCGCCGGCGCGACTTCGCGCCTATTGCGGGTCATGAGGGGGCGCCGCCATCTTGACTGAGGGCAGAGCGGCAGGAAGGGGGGGGTGCTGTCCCTGGGGTTCGGGGGTCCCTTGGGGTTCTCCTGGGGATTGAGGGGGTGCTTTGAGGCGGAGGGGGGTCCCTGGGGAATATGGGGGGCCCTGGGGGGCTGGGGAGGCCCTGGGCGGGCGGTTGGCTGGGGGGCGGGGGGCTTTGGGGACAAGGCGGGGCTTTGGGGACAAGGGGGGGCCTGGGGACAAGGGGGGGGGGGGGGTCCCCGCCAGGAAAAGGCACCTCGGGCCGGGGTCGCCCATTTCCCCGTCTCCGGTACATGGTGCCAAGGCGGGGGGGGGGCACCCATGGGCTGCGCCCCAGCCCTGCCCCCCCGCCCGCGCCCCCCACCTTTGCACCCATTTGGGGTGGGGAAACTGAGGCAGGGCGCGGTCCGCGACCCCCGGCCGGGGGGGGGGGGGGGGGGGGGGCTCAGCACCCCGTATCCCTCGCGGGCGGGAGTTGCGGGCGCGCCCCGGGGTGCTGCGGGGGCGGGCCGGGCTGGGCGCCCTGCCACGCGCGGGGTGCCTCCCCCCCCCCGGGGTCCCCACGCCTTGGCACCCCAATTAGTCGCTAATTAAGCCCGCACGCGCCGGGGTGACGCCCCCGCCGGGATAGAGTGTGATAGCGGGTCCATGGGGGGGGGCGGCGATGAGGGGGGTCCCAGAGGTCTGGGGGCAGGATTGGGGGGGGGGTGTCAGGAATGGGGGTCCGGGGAGGCAGAACGGGGGGCCGGGGGGGTTAGGAATGGCGGGGGGGTCCGAAGGAGCAGGATGGGGGGTCCGGTGGGGCAGAACGGGGGGGTCAGGATGGGGGGGGGGGTCCGAGGGAGCAGAATGGGGGGGGGGGGGGCGTTAGGAGTGGGGATCTGGGGGGGGTCAGGCGTGGGGGTCCGGTGGGGCAGAACGGGGGGGTCAGGATGGGGGGGGGGGTCCGAGGGAGCAGAATTGGGGGGGGGGGGCGTCAGGAGTGGGGATCTGGGGGGGTCAGGCGTGGGGGTCCGGTGGGGCAGAACGGGGGGGTCAGGATGGGGGGGGGGTCCGAGGGAGCAGAAGGGGGGGGGGGAGGCGTCAGGAGTGGGGATCTGGGGGGGTCAGGCGTGGGGGTCCGGTGGGGCAGAACGGGGGATGCGGGCGGTCGAGGGGGGGGGCTCGGGGCGGGGGGCAGCCGGCGGAGGGAAGGGGTTAATGCGGAGCGGGGCCGGGCGGGGAGCGGGTGAGTCAGCGGGGCCCCCCCGGCCCCCCCGGCCCGCCCCCGCCGTGCCTATCCCGGGCGGCGCCGCGCCCCGCCACTGCCCGCTCCGCTCCGCACCGCTCCGCTCCGCACCGCCCGTGAGTACCGCACCGGGGGGGCCACCCCGCACCCCGATGGCGGGGGGGGGCCGAGGCTGCAGCCTTTTGGGGGACACCCCATGGCTGCACCCCGCTGGGGGGGGTCAATCCTGCACCCCGCTTGGGGGGGGGGGAATCCTTCACCCTGCCATGGGGGGTCCAATCCTGCACCCTGTTATGGGGGGGGGGGCTCAGTTCTGCACCCCTCGCTTAAAAGGGGGAACCCCAGGCACGGCCCCCCGGGTGGGGAGCCCCAGTCCTGCCCCCCTGCCAGAGGGGGACCCCAATCCGGCCCCTCCCGTTAGGGGTGAGCCCCATCCTCCCCCCAGAGCAGCGGGACCTTTAGGCTTGGGGGCCCCCCCCCCCATTAAAGGGGGACCCAACCCCGCACCCCCATTTGGAGGGGGACCCCGAAGATGAGCACGCGGGTCAGGGACACCCCGCCCTGACCACGCCACCCCACCCCAGAGGGTGTGGGGGTGCCCGTGGAGGGGCCTTTCCCCCCCTCAAGAGATGCCCCCGTGCCCTGGGGGGGCCGGGGGGGTCCCGGTGCTGAGCTGGGGGGCCCAGCCCTGCCGCACCCCCTCCCCGGAGCCCCCCTCCCCAAGTTCTTGGCGGACTGGGCCAGTTCCTGTTTCGGTGACGGGTGCCCGCGCTGGGGTGTGGCTGCGGTGTCCCCAACCCTGCGGCGGCCCGGAGGGGGGGCACGGGGGGGGGGGCAGCGGTCCCGTGGGGCAGGGGTGTCCCCACGCTGCCGTCACCCCACATCTCGCCCAGGCATCCCCTCCCGAATGATTGGGGACACACACACGCATCCCTTGGCGGGGGGCTGCTTTGGGGCTGCCCCCCCGCCCCGTGACCCTGCAGGCGTGGGGAAACTGAGGCAGGGTGCACCCCGCCCAGGGAGGAGACTGGGGGCTTTGTGCAACGCCCCCCGCCATGACTCACTGGGGTTCCCCAGGGTGCCCCGTAGCCGGAGAGGGGGGGACACACACACACACACACGGGACACACCCGCAGGATGCGTGTATGTGTGTGTGTGTCCCCCCCCCGGCCCCACCCCGCGGCCGCAGCCGGAGCTGAGTCATTCCTGATGGCTGGAAAAGTGCTCACACGTGTGATGAGCGGTGCCAGCCTCAGCCCGCAGCCTGCCAGCGGGGGGGGGGGGAGGTTTGGGGGGGGGGGGGGGGGGCACGGCTGAGCTGTGTCGTCCCCCCCGCAGCCCCCCGCCATGCCGTCCCAGATGGAGCACGCCATGGAGACCCTCATGTTCACCTTCCACAAGTACGCGGGGGACAAGAACCACCTCAGCAAGGAGGACCTGCGGGCCCTCATGGAGAAGGAGTTCCCCGGCTTCCTGGAGGTGGGGGGCAGCGGCGGGCAGGGGGACCCCTAGCACCCCGGGATCAGCCCCTATAGTGCCCCGGGATCAGCCCCCATAGCACCCCAAGATCAGCCCCCATAGCGCCCCGGGTTCAGCCCCTATAGCGCCCCGCTGTCAGACCCTGCAGCACCCCAGGGTTAGGCCCCATAGCACCCTGTGATCAGCCCCTGTAGCACCCCAAGATCAGCCCCTGTAGCACCCCAAGATCAGCCCCCATAGCACCCCAAGATCAGCCCCTATTGCACCCCAAGATCAGCCCCCATAGCACCCCAAGATCAGACCCTATAGCACCCTGCGATTAAGCCCTATCACACCCTGGGGTCAGACTGTATATCACCCCAAGATCCGCTCCCGTAGCACCCCAATATCAGACCCCATTCCACCCCAAGATCAGACCCTATAACACCTCAAGATCAGCCACTGTAGCACCCCAAGATCAGACCCTATAGCACCCGGGGATCAGCGCCCATACACCCCAATATCAGGCCCTGTAGCACCCCAAGATCAGACCCCATCGCACCCTGGGATCAGACTGTATACCACCCCGATATCAGACCCTGTCGCACCCCAAGATCAGCCTCCATACATCTTAGGATCAGACCCTATAACACCTCAGTATCAGCTGCTGTAGCACCCCAGGATCAGACCCTATAGCACCCCGATACCAGCCCCCGTACGCCCCAGGATCAGACCCTACAGCACCCCGATACCAGCCCCTGTACGCCCCAGGATCAGACCCTATAGCACCCCAAGATCAGACCCTACAGCCCCCCGATACCAGCCCCTGTACGCCCCAGGATCAGACCCTATAGCACCCCGATACCAGCCCCCGTACACCCCAGGATCAGACCCTACAGCACCCCAAGATCAGACCCTACAGCCCCCCGATACCAGCCCCCGTACACCCCAGGATCAGACCCTACAGCCCCCCGATACCAGCCCCCGTACACCCCAGGATCAGACCCTACAGCCCCCCGATACCAGCCCCCGTACACCCCAGGATCAGACCCACCAGCCCCCGTACGCCCCGCGGCCAGCCCCGGTAGCAGCGCAGGACCCACCCCTCCCCCCGACGCCGGGGCGGGGGGCGCTGACCCCCGGGCCCCCCCAGAACCAGCGGGACCCGATGGCGCTGGACAAGATCATGCGGGACCTGGAGCAGAGCTGGGACGGGCGCGTGGGCTTCCAGGGCTTCTTCTCGCTGGTGGCCGGGCTCACCATCGCCTGCAACGACTACTTCGTGCTGCACATGAAGCAGAAGGGCCGGAAGTGAGCGGGGGGCTGCCCCCCGCCCGGGGGGCTGCCCCGACACCCCTGGGTGCTGCCCCCCGCCCTGGGGTGCTGCTCCCCTGCCCTGGGGGGCTGCCCTGACACCCCTGGGTGCTGCCCCCTCACCCTGGGGTGCTGCCCCCTCACCCTGGGGTGCTGCTCCCTCACCCTGGGGGGCTGCCCCCCCACCTTGGGGTGCTGCCCCCCCGCCGGGGGGCTGCCCCCCACCTGGGGTGCTGCCCCCCCACCCCTGGGTGCTTCCCCCCCCCCGCCCTGGGGTGCTGCCCCCCCCACCCCTGGGTGCTGCCCCCTGCCCTGGGGTGCTGCCCCCCCACCCCTGGCTGCTTCCCCCCCCTGCCCGGGGGTGCTGCCCCCCCCACCCCTGGGTGCTGCCCCCTGCCCTGGGGTGCTGCCCCCCCCACCCCTGGGTGCTGCCCCGACACCCCCTGCTGCCCCCCCCACCCCAATAAAGGTGTTTTCTACTACACTGGAGCTGCCTCGTTTCTTGGGGTCACCGTCCCCAGTGGGGTGTCCCCCCACATCCCTGTACCCTTGGGGTCCCTGTCCCCCCGGGATCCCCATCCCCTGTCCCCCCCCCCCCCAACCCATAGGGTCACCCCAGCCATGGGGGGGGGGGGGAAGCACAGGCCCCCCCTAAACAGCCAGAGCCAGCTGGGGCGGGGGGGGGGGGGGCCCGACATGGGTGTGTAGGGGCACAGGGGCAGTATGGGGGTGTGTAGGGGCATGGGGGGGCTCGGGGGTCCGGGGGGGCTGTATAGGGGGTGTAGGGCTTCTATAGGGACTGCCCGGGGGTGGAGGGGGGGCTGCAGCAGCCAGCGGGTATAGAAATCTACGGGGGCAGTATGGGGGTCTATAGGGGCTGCCGGGGGCTGGGGGGCTCTGCAGGGCCCAGCCAGGTCTATACATTGGCATATAGGCGACCTGGAGGTGCCGCGGGGTTGGCGGGGGGCTGCGCGCGGCTGGCGTGGAGGCCTGCAGAGGCACGAGGGGGGGACGTAAGGGCCGTAGGGGGCCGCGAAGGCGCGTGTAGGGGCTGCGTGGGGGTCCCCAGGAGCTGCGTGGGGCCGTGTGGGGCTGTACAGGATGGTATAGGGGTGTATGGGGGGGCGGGGGGGGTCTATAGGGGCTGTATGGGGCGGTATAGGGGTCTATAGGGGTCTATAGAGGGGCTGGGGGGGTCCCTCGGGGCTGAACAGGCTCTATAGGGGCCTATAGGGGACCCTCGGGGGACGGGGGGTTGGGGTCAGGGGGTGGCTGACCTCTGACCTCTGACCTGGCTGTCCTTGGCCCCACTGGGGTCCCGGGGGGGGGGGGCAGCACTGGGAGTGACGTCACTGCTGGGGATGACGTCACTGCCGGCTTCCAGCATGGCGGCACCGAGTCCCCCCCCCCCGACAGGGCGTGACATCACCGGGGGGGGGGCCGGTGACAGTGTGTGACGTCACCGGTGACCTCACCGACCGAGCGTGACGTCACAGCCAGGAGGCACGTGGCGCAGTGGCATGGGCGTGGCTGCCGGTGGCCGTCCCCGCGCCCCGCCCCCCCGGAGGGTCACCTCGTGTCCCCCCCATGTGCCCCCCCGTGTCCCCCCCTTGTCCCCCCCGGGCCCCCCCCCCGCGCCTTGCGGCAGCCTTGCAACCCGACCTCAACATCGCCCACGCGTCGCGCGTGTCCCCGGGGACACGGGGGGGTTTCCCCAAGGTGGGGGGGGGACACACACAGGGGTCCCCCCCCCCGCCCGCTGTGGCCGCGGCTGGGGACACGCCGCCCCCCCGGGCCCCCAGCGAGGACGGGGACACCCCGGGGCCCCCCCGCGAGTGGCCGTGGGGGAGGGTACGGGGGGATCCCCTCAGCCCGGCCCCCTCCTCCTCCAGGTCTCTTCATCCGGCCGCGGGAGGACGCGCCTCGCCACCGCGTGTGTGTCCACGCGTGTCCCCCGGTCACCCCCGTGTCCCCCCGCATGTCCATCCCCCCCCCGCCGCCTCAGTTTCCCCAGGCGGGGCTGGGGGGGGCCGTGAGCAGCAGCGCCGCCGCGCATCACCCCTCGTGTCGCCGGTTTCCGTGGGGTTCGGTCACATCCCTCGCGGTCACGGGTGGCACCCCACGGCCGGGAGGGGACCCTCGGGGGGGCGGGGGGTGGGGGAGCCCCTTTGGGACCGTGTGTGTGTGTGTAGGTGCGTGTGTCCGCGTCCCCGCCGCGCTGCCCACGGGTGGGGGGTCCCACGGCCCGTGGAGTCCCCGCCCACGGGACCCCCGGTGAGGGGCGGGGCCGCGGCAGGGGGTGTGTGGGCGGAGTCGCTGGGGTGGGCGGGGCTCCGGCCGGTTTGCGTGGGCGGGGCGTGGGGCGTGGGCGGGGCGTGGTGGTTGTGGGCGGGGCCGGGCGCCCCCCGTTCCCCGCCATTGCGCAGGGGGCGGGGGGAGCGGGGGGACCCCCGGGTCTGGGGGGCGCTCCCAGCGCTGCGGCCTCAGTTTCCCCCACGGCCCGGCCCCGCCTGAGCCCCCGCTGGGGCCTGGCACAGGGGGGGCCGCGGCTGCACCCCAACACTGGGCACACTGGGGTGCCGGGGGGTCCCATGGCTGCACCCCAACACTGGGCACACTGGGGTGCCGGGGGGTCCCATGGCTGCACCCCAAAGCCAGGCACATCGAGGTGCTGTGGGGTCCCGTGGCTGCACCCCAGGGCCAGGCATGTTGGGGTGCCGTGGGGTCCCACCAGTGCGCCCCAGGGCCAGGTACGTCAGGGTGTCCGGGGGTCCCACTGCTGCCCCCCGAAGCTGGACACTTCAGGGTGCCAGGGGGGGCCCCGGCTGCGCCCCAGAGCTGAGCCCATCCGGGTGCCGGGGGGTCCCGTGGGGCCGGGGGGTGCCGGTGCCCACCCGCCCGCCTGGGTCCCCGCTCCGCTTCGCCCGGGGTCACCGGGGTCACGGGGGGCTGGGGGTGCCCCCGGCTGCCCGGGTCCCCGCGCCGCCCCTCCGTGCCTCAGTTTCCCCCCCTGCCGCCCCGTGGAAAGTCGGAAATTTCCAGTGCGTGGGGCCGGGGGGGCAGGATGCCGGGGGGGGGGGGGCAGGATGCCGGGGGGGCCCCGGCGCCCTTATAACGCTTGCCCGCGCCGCCCGCGCCGCTGCCGCCGCCATGCGAGGTAGGGCCCGGCGCGGGGGGCTGCGGTGGGGGCACACGTGTGTGCGGGCGTGTGCTCCCCTGGGGCTGCGTGCTGGGCCGGGGGAGCGGGGGGGCTGCGTGTGGCAGGGGGTGGCAGGGGGCGTGCGTGCGTGTGCGACGGGGGGAGGGAGCTGGTGGGGGTGCGCGCGTGGCTGGGCACGCGTGTGTGTGCGCGTGTGGGAGCGTGCAGGCGCGTGGGAGCGTGTGAGAGTGGCCGGGCGCACGCGGAGGAGCGTGGGAGCGGGTGTGCGGGTGTGTGCGTGCAGGTGGGAGCGTGCTGGGGTGTGCACGCGTGTGTGCAGGGGCCTGGGAGCACACGGGTGTGCGTGTGTGTATGTGTGCAAGGGCGTGGGAGCACTCGGGTGTGCGTGTGTGTGTGTGCCATCAGTGGAGGCTCGTGAGAGCAGACGGACATGCGTGCAGGCATGTAGGAGCGTGTTTGTGTGTGTGCAAGAGTGTGGGAATGTGCATGTGCGTGTGCAACGGTGAGGGAGCGTGTACACATGTGTGTGCAAGGCTGTGGGAGCAAGCGGGGGGGGTGTGTGTGCAAGGGCGTGGAGCGTGTGAGAGCAGGCAGGAGTGGGTGTGCAAGGGCGTGGGAGCACACGGGTGTGCATGGGTGTGTGCACACATGGGCACAGCTGTGTGCTTGTGCAAGCAGGTGGGAGCATGTTGGATCATGCGTGTGCACGCGTGTGAGAGTGTGTGTGTGCCAGGGCAGGGTGTGTGAGTGTGCGAGAGCACCAGGAGCTGACAGGGCACGGGGGCTGCATGTGTCAGCGTGTGTCAGCGCGTGTCAGCATCACACGAGTTTTACAGCTCACACAGCCATGTCTGGCATATGTTATAGCATGACCATGCATGTTGTGGCATGCACAGGCATGTTTTGGGGCATGCATGTGATGAAGGTTGTGTAACTGCATGTGCACACACTACAGGGTCTGTGCATGCATGTTACGGTGTGTTTCTACATGTGCACACATGTTACAGCCTCTCGCTGTGCGTACACACATGTTAGGGTGTGTAGCTGCATGCGCACACATGTTATGGTGTGTGCACCCATGTTGCCGGGCGGTGCAGCGCGTGCGGGTGTTGTACACAGCTCCGGCTGTCCGTGCATGGAGTGTGGCATGCACGCGTGTTGCGGGGCTTACACACATGTTATCACATGTTGCTGTGTGTCCCGGCAGCGCCGGGCAGCCCCGTTTCCCCCCCCGGGGCCAGGGGGGGCGGGTGCCCCCCCAGCACCCATGGGTGCCCCCGCGCACCTGCGGGTCGGGCGCTCGCCCTTAGATGTGGCGGGGGCTGGCAGCTGCGCGGGGCCGGCGCAGGTGACACGGACGGGGACACGGACGGGGACACGCAGGTGGCCCCGCTCCGGCGCCACCCCCCCGCACCACCCGCCCCCCCGCTTTGGCACTGGGGAAACTGAGGCAGGGGCTGCCGGCACCCCTGGGTGCTGGGGCCGGGGTCCCCCGGGGTCCCCTCCTCTCCGTATCATGGCATGTTGGCCTGTGCCATGACGTGTCATGGCGTGTTTTGCCGTGACGCCGCGCCGAAGGGGGGTCGGGAGCACCCGTCCATCTCCCCGCCCTGGGGACGGTGGGTGCTGATGGGTGCCAGCAGGTCCTTGTGGGTGCTGGGGGGACTGGGGGTGCCGGTGGGTGTCCCGGGAGCTGGTGGGTGCTAATGGGAGCCCGTGGGGCTGGTGGGGGCCAGTGGGTGCCCTGGGGCCCCTGGGTTCGTGTGGGGCTGATGGGTGCTGGTGGGGCTGATGGGTGCCGGTGGGTGCTGGTGGGGCTGATGGGTGCCAGCAGGTCCCTGTGGGGCTGATGGGAACCAGTGGGTGCTCATGGTGCTGGTGGGTGCTGGTGGGGATGATGGGTGGTGGTAGATGCCGGTGGGTGTTGGTGGGGATGAGGGGTACCGGTGGGTGCCGGTGCGTGCTGATGGGTGCTGACGGGGATGATGGGTGCTGGTGGGTGCCGGTGGGGATGAGGGGTACCGGTGGGTGCTGGTGGGGATGAGGGGTACCGGTGGGTGCTGGTGGGTGCCGGTGGGTGCTGGTGGGGATGAGGGGTACCGGTGGGTGCTGGTGCGTGCTGATGGGTGCTGACGGGGATGATGGGTGCTGGTGGGTGCTGGTGGGTGCCGGTGGGTGCTGGTGGGGATGAGGGGTACCGGTGGGTGCTGGTGCGTGCTGATGGGTGCTGACGGGGATGATGGGTGCTGGTGGGTGCCGGTGGGTGCTGGTAGGCACTGGTGGGGATGAGGGGTACCGGTGGGTGCCGGTGCGTGCTGATGGGTGCTGACGGGGATGATGGGTGCTGGTCGGTGCCGGTGGGTGCTGGTGGGGATGAGGGGTACCGGTGGGTGCTGGTGGGTGCCGGTGGGTGCTGGTGGGGATGATGGGTGCTGGTGGGTGCCGGTGGGTGCTGGTGGGGATGAGGGGTACCGGTGGGTGCTGGTGCGTGCTGATGGGTGCTGACGGGGATGATGGGTGCTGGTGGGTGCCGGTGGGTGCTGGTGGGTGCCGGTGGGGATGAGGGGTACCGGTGGGTGCCCGTACCGCTGGCAGGTGCTGGTGGGGCCGACGGGGACTGTTGGGTGTTGCTGGCAGGCGCCCAGGGGAACCGGTGCCCCCGGGAGCGGGTGGGTGCTGTGGGCGGGTGCCGGGGGGAGGCGTGGGGCCGGGGAGACCTCGTCGACCTCTCGCCGCCGGTTCCTGGCAGGAGCAGCACCCGAAAGCGGCGCTTCCTGGCAGCCGCCGGCGCCGCCGCCGTTGACTAATGCGGGTGCCGGGGCGCGGGGCTGACTCAAAGCGCCGAATTCCCAGGGCCCCCCCCCGGCCGGCGCCGCCGCGGGGGTCCCCGGTGCCCGGCCGCCAGCGCCGGATGCGAGGGCGGCCGCCGGGCCCCAAAACTGGGGCGGGTGGAAAAAGCCGACGAGGCAGATTCGGCCCCCGGGGAGGAAGAGGTGTGCGGGCGTGTGCACGCGTGTGCGCGCGTGTGCGAGCGTGAAGGAGCGGCTGCGTGGCAGGCACAGGCGTGCGCGAGGGTGCGAGGGCGCCCGGGAGCGTGTGCGAGCCTCGGCGGACGCATGCCGGCCCGTGCGAGCAGCCGCGAGCGTGCGAGAGCGGGCGCAGGCGCCCACGGGCGTGCGTGAACGTGTGCAAGCACACGGGAGTGGGCGCAAGCGTGGCCGAGCGTGCGGCAGCGTGGGCGAGCGTTTGCAGCTTTGCACAACCCTTTGCAAACGTGCACAAGCGTGCGGGCGAACGTGTGCCCGAGTGCGTGTGTGTGACTGAGGGCACGTGCGTGTGCCCACGCGTGCCCAGGCGTGCATCAGCCCCCCAAAAACCTCCCTGCGCTTGAACGTCTGCATGCAGGCATGTGCAAGGGTGCCCGTACATGCGTGCAGGTGTGCAAGCGTGTGCGAGCAGGCAGGAGGGGCTCAGGCATGCCCGAGTGTGCACAGGCGTGTGCCGGGGTGCGTGGATGTGCCTGTGTGCGTGCACAGGCGTGTGCAGGGCAGAGGGTGACAAGCTGGTGGCGGGGAGGGACGGGAGCCGTCGGGGTGGGAGGGGGCTCCTGGGGGCTCTGGGGCAGCCCAGGGGGTTGGGGGTCCCCCACCCCGGTGTCCCCCAGCTCTGCCATCTTTGCTCTGGTGTCCCCCCAGGCTCAGCTGTCCCCCGGCTCTGCTCCCCCCACCCCGGTGTCCCCCCCCGTGGCTGCACGCCCAGGGTCCCCTGCCCACCCGGAGGGTGCAGCAGGGCCGTGCCGGGGCCATGCCAGGGCCACGCTGGGCCGTGCTGGTGCTGTGCTGAGCCGTGCTGGTGCTGTGCCGGTGCTGTGCCGGTGCCGTGCCAGTGCCGTGCTGAGCCGTGCCGGTGCTGTGCCGGTGCCGTGCCGGTGCCGTGCTGAGCTGTGCCAGTGCTGTGCCGGTGCTGTGCTGGGCCATGGCGGTGCCGTGGCGGTGCCGTGCTGGGCCGTGGCGGTGCTGTGCCGGTGCCGTGCCAGTGCTGTGCCGGTGCTGTGCCGGTGCCGTGCCAGTGCTGTGCTGGTGCCGTGCTGGGCCATGGCGGTGCCGTGGCGGTGCCGTGCTGGGCCGTGGCGGTGCTGTGCCGGTGCCGTGCCAGTGCTGTGCCGGTGCCGTGCTGGGCCATGGCGGTGCCGTGGCGGTGCCGTGCTGGGCCGTGGCGGTGCTGTGCCGGTGCCGTGCCAGTGCTGTGCCGGTGCTGTGCCGGTGCCGTGCTGGGCCGTGGCGGCGGGCGCCTTCCTGCAAGGTGGGGCCGCGTCCCAGTTGCGGCTTCGCCGGTGCTCGCTGCTGCTGCGGTTTCGGCAGCCCCCGGTGTCCGGCAGGACCCACCCTGTGCCGGGGCCGTGGGGGGAAGCCCGGGGGGCACCCATGGGCTGGGGGGGGGGCAGCAGCGGAGCCCACGGGGTGGCGTGGGGGCCCGTGGGTGCCACGGGAACACGCGAGGGACACGTGAGCCCATTGGGACCAGGCGAGCTCACGGGGGCACGGGACCCCACGCGTGTGTCTGTAGGCACCAGTGCCCACAGGGGACACACAGGCCCCCGGGGGCCCCTTGAGAACGGGGGTGGAGGAGGAGACGTGGTCCCCCGGGGCCCTTGGGAGCCCGGGGGGGGGACACGGGAGCAGCCCGTGGGGCGGCGGGTGAGCCCCCCGGAGACGTGAACCTACGAGGGGACATGTGAGCCCACGGCGGCCACGTGAGCCCGTGTGCTGACACGTGAACCTGTTAGGGACACATGAGGGACACGCAGTCCCACGCGGGTCACGGGGGTGGGCCGGGGACTCTGTGAGCCCACGGGGGACACGGGAGCCCGTGGGGAGCCTGGGAGTCCCCGAGGGGCAGCGGAGCCCATGGGGGACACGCGAGCCCAGGGAGAGCGTGCGAGGACACGGGTGGCACACGTGGTCCCACGGGCGCCACGTCAGCCCGGAGGGACCGTGAGCTCCCATGGGGGGTTTGGGGGGACCCTCGGGGTGGGCACCCACGCCATCCCCCTCCCGCCCACAGCCCACATCGAGGTGATCCCCTGCAAGATCTGCGGGGACAAATCCTCAGGGATCCACTACGGCGTCATCACCTGCGAGGGCTGCAAGGTGGGTGGGGGGGGGGATGGGGGGTGTTGGGGGTATCAGAGGGTGCCAAAGTGTACCAGGGGGTACCAGGGGGTGCTGTGAGGGTGTTGGGGTGTGCCAGGAGGGTGCCGGGGGGTGCTGGGGGGTACCAGGGGGTACCAGGGGGTGCTGTGAGGGTGCTGGTGGGTGCCAGACGGTGTCAGGGGGAGCCGGGGGGAGCCGGGGGGTGTCAGGGGGTGCCGGGGGGAGCGGGGGGGTGCCGGGGGGTGCTGGGGGGAGCCGGGGGGTGCCGGGGGGTGCCGGGGGGAGCCGGGGGGTGCCGGGGGGTGCCGGGGGGAGCGGGGGGGTGCCGGGGGGTGCTGGGGGGAGCCGGGGGGTGCCGGGGGGTGCCGGGGGGAGCCGGGGGGTGCCGGGGGGTGCCAGGGGGTGCCGGGGGGAGCCGGGGGGTGCCGGGGGGAGCCGGCCCGGCGCTGACCCCCGGCGCAGGGCTTTTTCCGGCGCAGCCAGCAGAGCAGCCTGAGCTACGCCTGCAGCCGCCAGCAGAACTGCCCCATCGACCGGGCCAGCCGCAACCGCTGCCAGCACTGCCGCCTGCAGAAGTGCCTGCGCCTCGGCATGTCCCGCGACGGTGGGTGCACCCCCCCACCCCGCGTCCCCCTCCCCCGTGGGGGCTGCAGGTGCCCCGGGGCCGTGGGACATCGCCGGGAGGAAGCGGAGGGGCCGTGGGTGCGCCCGGAGGAAGCGGGGCGGTGAGGGCCGCCGCGGCACGCGTGTGGGGCCGGAAAGCCCCGGTGCCACGGCTATGTAGGTCGCGGGGAACCGGTGCCTGCACACGCATGGGGACACACGTGTGACACGCGTGTCCCCCAGCGTCGCCGCCTCTTTCCCCCCCCCCCCCCCCCCGCAGCCGTCAAGTTTGGCCGCATGTCCAAGAAGCAGCGGGACCGGCTGCACGCCGAGGTGCAGCAGCAGCTGGAGCAGCGGGAGCGGGAGCGGGCGGCCGAGGGGGCACCCCCCGGCCCCCTGGGGCTGGTGGGGTGCCGGGGCCACCCACTGACCCCCACCGGCACCCGCCACGGCGGGACGGAGGGCAGGGCTGCTCCCACGGTGAAGGTGGAGCCGGGGCGGCTGGAGGGGGCCAAGCGGGGCCCGGACGGGGACGGGGACGGCCCCGGCTTCTACCCCCACCCTGATGCCGGCGGCCTCCTGGAGTCACCCACGTCCGCCGGCGTGGAGATCGGTGAGTCACTGGGTGCCATGTGCCCGCGGGGACTGGGGTCTGTCACCCATGGGTGCTCAGTGGTGGTGGGACCTGGCTCCACCACCCATGGGTGCCCAAAGGTGGCAAGACCTGGCTCCATCACCCATGGGTGCTGGTGGGACCTGGCTCCACCACCCATGGGTGCTCAATGATGGCAGGACCTGGCTCCATCACCCATGGGTGCTGGTGGGACCTGGCTCCACCACCCATGGGTGCTGGATGGTGGTGGGACATGGTTCCATCACCCATGGGTGCTCAGTGGTGGTGGGACCTGGCTCCACCACCCATGGGTGCTCAGTGATGGCAGGACCTGGCTCCATCACCCATGGGTGCTGGTGGGACCTGGCTCTATCACCCATGGGTGCTGGATGGTGGTGGGACCTGGCTCCACCACCCATGGGTGCTCAGTGATGGCGGGACCTGGATCCACCACCCATGGGTGCTGGATGGTGGCAGGACCTTGCCCATCAGGGACAGGGGCAAGCGCTGCCTGCCCTGTCCCCGTCCCCATCCCCGTCCCCCACCCCCGTGTCCCCGCGTCCCCGTGTCCCCGCAGAGCACCTCACCCAGAACGTCCTCAAGTCCTACCGGGAGACCTGCCAGCTCCGCGCCGAGGACCTGCAGCTCCGGCGCTGGGACACCTTCTCCCGCGAGGAGGTCTGCGCCTACCAGAGGAAGGTGAGGCCACCGGGGTGGGGACAGGGGAGGGGACGCGAGGGTCCCCGGGGGACGCCGGGTGCTCCAGCGCGGAGCGGTGGGGCCGGTGGGGCGGGGGTGACGGCCGGTCCCGCAGCCGATGGAGGAGATGTGGCAGCGCTGCGCCGGGCGCATCACCGAGGCCATCCAGTACGTGGTGGAGTTCGCCAAGCGCCTGCGCGGCTTCATGGACCTCTGCCAGAACGACCAGATCGTCCTCCTCAAAGCGGGTACGGGGCCACCGCGTCCCCTGTCCCCGGCCCCACGGGCCCTGCTGCCCCCGGCCCCCCAGCCCCGGTGTCCCCAGGTGAGGGGACTGGTCCCACCAGGGAGGTGACAGTCCCTGGAGGGTGCTGTGGCCCCATGGGGGTGGGGGTCCCATGGGTCCCACCGGGGAGGTGACAGCCCCCAAGGGCCACCCCGACCCCACCAGTAAGGTGACAATCTCATGGGTCCCACCGGGGAGGTGACAGCCCCCAGGGCTGGTGTCGCGGGGGCACCCACCCGACCCCGAGCGGCAGCACCGTGGGGCCCCGTGTCCCCGGTGCCACCGTCCCCGTCCCCGTCCCGCTGCCGGGCGGCGGCAGGAGCCATGGAGGTGGTGCTGGTGCGCATGTGCCGAGCCTTCAACGCCGACAACCGGACCGTCTTCTTCGAGGGCAAGTACGCCGGCGCCGAGCTCTTCCGATCCCTGGGTAGGGCTGGGGACACGAGGGGACGCGGGGGGACACGGGGGGACATGGGGGGACGCAGGGGGACACAGGGGGACACACAGTGACGATGTCTCCCCCCAGGCTGCCACGAGCTCATCAGCTCCATCTTCGACTTCGCCCAGAGCCTCTGCGCTCTGCACTTCTCGGAGAGCGAGGTGGCCCTCTTCAGCGCCCTCGTCCTCGTCAACGCCAGTGAGGGACCCCCGGGTCACCCCCTGCCTCAGTTCCCCCCCCCGCCCCCCCTGCCCCATAGGAACCCAAACAAGGGTTTGCCCAAACCCCCCTGGTTTTGTCCTAAAGCGGGTGCTGGGTGGTGGCCTTGGGTGTCCTGAGCCGTTCCCACCCCCCGTGCCCCTCCTGTCCCGCCCTCAGCCCCAGCGGGTCCCTGTCCCCGTTCCTGTCCCTGTCCTGTTGTGGTCCCCACCCTGTCCCCATCCTCTTCCCATCCTGCCGTGGTCCCACCTCTCCCATCCTCATCCCGTCCCTGTCCCCAGCCCTATCTCATCTCCATCCCAGCCCTGTCCCTGTCCCCATCCCACCCCAGTCCCCATCCCATCCCATCCCTGTCCCTGTCCCCATCCCAGTCCCCGTGCCCATCCCATCCCCGTCCCTGTCCCCGTGCCCACCCCAGTCCCCATCCCTGTCCCCATCCCACCCCAGTCCCCATCCCATCCCTGTCCCCATCCCAGTCCCCGTGTCCACCCCAGTCCCCATCCCTGTCCCCGTGCCCATCCCATCCCCGTCTCTGTCCCTGTGCCCACCCCAGTCCCCATCCCATCCCTGTCCCTGTCCCCATCCCTGTCCCTGTGCCCATCCCATCCCAGTCCCTGTTCTCTCCCCGTGCCCATCCCAGTCCCCATGCCCATCACACCCCTGTCCCTGTCCCCGTGCCCAACCCACCCCGGTCCCCGTCCCTGTCCCCGTGCCCATCCCATCCCCATCCCTGTCCCCATGCCCATCACACCCCTGTCCCTGTCCCCGTGCCCATCCCACCCCGGTCCCCGTCCCTGTCCCCGTGCCCATCCCATCCCCATCCCTGTCCCCGTGCCCATCACACCCCTGTCCTCATCCCTGTCCCCGTGCCCATCCCACCCCAGTCCCCATCCCTGTCCCCGTGCCCATCACACCCCTGTCCCCGTCCCTGTCCCCGTGCCCATCCCAGCCCGGTCCCCGTCCCTGTCCCCGTGCCCATCCCACCCCGGTCCCCGTCCCTGTCCCCGTGCCCATCCCAGCCCGGTCCCTGTCCCTGTCCCTGTCCCCGTGCCCATCCCAGCCCGGTCCCTGTCCCTGTCCCTGTCCCCGTGCCCATCCCACCCCAGTCCCCATCCCTGTCCCCGTGCCCATCCCACCCCGGTCCCCATCCCTGTCCCCGTGCCCATCCCAGCCCGGTCCCCACGCCGTCCCCACGCCGCCCCGCCGTGTCCCCGTCCCCAGACCGCCCGTGGCTGCAGGACCAGGCCAAGGTGGCTCGGCTGCAGGGACACCTGGACGTCGCCTTCCGCGTGCTGCTGCGCCGGACCCGCCGCGAGGGGCTGCTGGCCAGGGTGCGGCACGGGGGGGCTGCCGTGGCGCGGGGTCCCCCCGCGTGACGGGTGTGTGTCCCTGTGTGAAGGGTGCGTGTCACCACACATGATGTGTGTGTGTCCCTGTGTGACTGCGTGATGGGTGCGTGTCCCCTGTGTGATGGGTGCGTGTCCCCCCGCATGTCGGACACGTGTCCCCCCGTGTGATAGGCGCGTGTCCCTGTGTGATGTGTGCGTGTCCCCGTGGGCACCGTGTTGGGTGCGTGTCCCCCCTCTCCGTGTGAGGCATATGTCCCCCCCATGACAGATGCGTGTCCCCACTGTGTGATGGGTGCGTGTCCCCCCCCGTCTTGGGTGCGTGTTCCCTCACGCGATGGGTGCGTGTCCCCGTGTGACGGGTGTGTGTGACCCCGCGTGTCAGTCACGTGTCCCCGCGTGACGGGCGCGTGTCCCCGTGGGCAGCTGCCGCCGCCCGGGCGCCTGCGCGCGCTGTGCTCGCAGCACGTGGAGCAGCTCCAGGCCTTCCGCCGCCTGCACCCCGGGGTGCTGCACGCCGCCTTCCCCCCGCTCTACCGCGAGCTCTTCGCCTCCGAGCCCGAGACCCCCGGCAGCGCCCGCTGAGCCCCCCGACACCCCACGGCTCGCCCGGCCCCCCCGCCTGCTGCCTGCCCACGGCCAGGAGTGCCGGCACCCCGGGGTGCTCCCTCGGCCGGGGGCACCCGCACCCGGTGAAGGACCGTCACCCAGCGATGGTCTGTCACCCGGCTGTGCTCTGTCACCCGGCGATGGTCCGTCGCCCGAGGAGGATCCGTCACCCAACAACGCCCCGTCACTCAGCAGGGTTTTGTCACCCGGCGGGGCTCCGTCACCCCGAGGAGCTTTGTCACGACAGTCTGTCACCCACCGATGCTCCGTCACCCGGCGGGGCTCTGTCACCCGAGGGTGCCCCCACCCCCCCGCAGAGCAGTCTGGGGTCCCCGGGGCCGCGGTGGGTGCTCCACGCGGGACAGGCACACGCCCACCCCCTCCCCGGGGCTCTCCCAGGGCCACCGGCTCCCGTGTGTGCAGACACGCGTGGGCTCCCCCCCCGGGTGGCCCGGCTGGGTGACGGGGGGGCGAGCGCCGGGGGGTGCCGGGCCGGGGCCGCGGCTGTACCGAATTGGAATAAAGGCATTTTTGGGACACGGCGCGTCCGTGGGCTCCGTCACGCGGGGAACGGGGTGACACGGCGCGAGACCCCGCGCCGGCGCCACGCGGGGCATTGTGGGACGGCGCAGAGCCTCCCGCTCTACGGGACCCGCCGCCCGTCACTCACAGCTCGGGGCGGGCCCGGGCGCCACTCCCTCTCGCCGACTGGCTCCAGCCGGCTGCCTCGCGGCGCGGATTGGCCGCTTTATTCCCAGGCAGGCGCCGTGTCCCTCCCCCTCCCTGTGGGAAGCCGTCCCGGGGATTGGCCACAGCTCCCTCCGGGCGGGGATTGGCGGGGCGGGGAGGAGCGGCGCTGCGATTGGAGCGCGGCGGCGGGGGGGGGGCGGGGCTAGCGGCGGCCGGGCGCGTGGGGCGGCGGTGGCGCGAAGCGGAGCCGGTACCGGGATGGGCGGGCGCGGCCGGGGTCTCCTCCCCCCTCACACCGGCCCGGCTGCCGACGGGCTCCCGGTAAAACCTCTCCTTCCCCAGGCCGCGGGGGGGACGATGGCGGAGCGGGGCTGCTGGAGCGGCCTGACGGCGCTGCAGAAAGCTGCGGTGGTGCTGGGCGTCCCGGCTGGCGCCGCCGTCTGCTTCGTCCTGTACCGCAGGTACCGGGAGAGCCGAGGTGGGTGTCGCAGCCCCGTCGCCGTCCCCCGGCTGCAGCGGTCAGCTGCGCCCCCCTCACCTGCCCTCACCTTCCCCAAGGGCGCTGAGGTGCTCGGGGGCGCCCCGAGCTGCCATGGGCCCCTCGCGGGGGACGGGGAGGCTCTGGGAGTGGCTTTGCCCGCCCTGAATTTCCCTCGTGCTGTTGATACCCCTCCCGGGGGGCTTGGCTCGCCCTGCGCGGATGGACGCGGCTGTGGGGACCCGGCGCTGCCGCTTTGCCCTCAGAGGAGCGGCTGACCTCTGTGGGAGACGAGGAGCTGGAAATTGAGATGCGAGTCCCCCGGGCGGCCGTGAAATCCATCATCGGCCGGAAGGGAGCCACCATCAGAAAGGTTTGTGATGCTGGAGGCTGCACCTCTCATGGGGGTAACGAGGGAAGGACGAGTTTACTGGGAACCCCGGTAAACAGCAGCCGGGGCTTGGTCCCCCCCTGCCCTGCAGCTGAGCCAAGAGACGGGGGCTCGCATCGGGGTGGAGGGCGAGGATGAGGCCGAGGAGACGACGCTGCTGATCTCGGGCTCCCCCAGCCAAGTCTGCCGGGCGAAAGCCGCCGTCCACCAGATCATGACGGAGAGCACGCTGGTGTCGGAGCAGCTCTGCGTGCCCCAGAGAGCCGTGGGCAGGATTATCGGTACGGCCGCCCGCCCCGGGGAGGCAGGGGACAGCGGGAGCTGTGGTGGATTTACCCGCTCAGTGCCCGTGGTGGCACGAGCGCAGGGAGCAGCCCCGCTTCCCTGCGGGAGGGAGCCTGGCCCCAGCTCCGCGGCCGCTCTGCCGCAGTTTCCCGGGGCTCTCCCTTGTCTGCCGCAGGCCGGGGCGGCGAGACTGTGCGGGGCATCTGCCGCAGCTCGGGGGCCAAAGTGCTCTGCGAGCGCGAGGCTGACGCCGGGCTGTCCCCGGTCAGGGTCATCCAGCTCTCGGGGACGCGGAAGGAGGTGGCAGCCGCCAAGGTGAGCGGGAGGCGGAGGGGCTGGGGGATGCCTCGGCCCCCCAACCACATCGCTCTCCTTGGTTTTGTGGGTTTTTTTCCCCCCCATTCCCAAAGAAACTCATCACGGAGAAGCTGATGGAAGACGATGCTTTCCGGAAGGAGCTGGCGCGGTCGACGGCGCTGCGGTGCCTGCGCAAGCAGCCCCTGGGCAGCCGGCGGGAGCCGGAGCCGCTCCCCAGCGGGACGCCGGAGCACGGGGAGGAGGACGGCGGCTCATCCTGGGGTGAAGGCTCGCTCCCGGGCCTGGCTCCCTCCGGGGAGGAGCTGGAGGACAAGGAGCCGGCCGACGCAGCAGTGCTGAAATTCGAGGGTAAGAGAAGCGTTCGCGTTGTCCCCGGGGCGTGTCGGGATAAACGGTGCTGGGGGGTTGGACGCGCTCAGGTCCCCCCGAGGCCAGGCAGGGTCTGCGGGGCGGCTTTGGCTCTCGGGGGCTCTCACCGGGACTCCCCTGTAGTTCCCAGCCCCGATTTCAGCTTCCCCCCCGACGAGCCCCTCGAGGTTTACGTCTCGGCCGCGGAAAACCCCAACCACTTCTGGATCCAGCTCGTCGGCCAGCGCAGCCTGCAGCTGGACAAGCTGACGGCAGAGATGGGCCAGTACTACCGGGGCAGCGGGTGTGCGGTGAGCCCCCAGACTGGTGTCCCCCCCCCCCAGCATGGGTCCCCCTGCCCCTCCCAGGGGTGTCACCCACCCTGTCCCCCCCAAGGCTGAGCTCCCGGCCGCCCAGCCCGGGGCCATCGTGGCCGCTCCCTACACGGACGGCAGCGACTGGTACCGCGCCCGTGTCCTGGGCACGCTGCCCAACGGCAACTTGGACCTTTACTACGTGGATTTTGGGGACAACGGCGAGGCCCCCCCTGAGGCGCTGCGAGCCCTGCGGTGAGCCCAGGGAGGGGGGGACATGGGGACAAGCTGGGGGGGTGCCGTGGCCTCACGCCATCCCTCTCCGCCTGCCAGGAGCGACTTCCTGAGCCTGCCCTTCCAGGCCCTGGAGTGCAGCCTGGCCGGCATCGGGCCCGCGGGTGAGCCCCTCCCTACCCCCCCCTCCCCAAATTTGTGCCCCCCCCCCGCCCCAGTGTCCCCTCACCCCCGTGTCCCCCCCCCAGAGCCGCAGGGCTGGGCGGAGGTGGCGCTGGACGCCTTTGACCAGCTGACGCACTGCGCGGCCTGGAAACCGCTGCTGGCCAAAATCGCCAGTTACGGCCCCTCGGGGCTCGGCCCCCGCCCCGAGGTGCGGCTCTACGCCACGCACGGCGGCCAGGTGAGCCCCGGTAACCCCCGGTACCCCCCCGGTACCCCCGCCCCGTGCCCCCCCGGTGCTGCCACGGCTCCTTTCCCCACAGACCCTGGACGTCGGCGCGGAGCTGGTGCGCCTGGGCCACGCCGTGCCCCAGCCCCACGGCGGCGAGGAGGAGGAAGAGGAGGAGGAGGAGGAGGAAGGGGCCGGTGATGGGCTGGCCGCGGCCCGCAGCCCGGTGAGCGCACGGTTTGTCCTCTCGCCCCACCCCTGCGGCACCGGGCCCCTGGCACCGTTAACCGGCTCTTCCCGGCGCAGGAGCCCCCTGAGAACCCTGGCGAGACCCCCCCGGCCTTGGGCAGCGCCCGCCTCCCCGGTGGGTACCGGCACTGTGCCCCGGTGCCCCCCCGGTGCCCCCCTCACCCCCCGCTCTGCACAGATGCCACCGGCGCTGAGGACGGCGGCGGGACAGCGAGCAGCTCCTGGTGACACCGGCCGCACCAGCCCGGGGGAGGCGGGAGGGTCCCGGCCCCCGTTACTGGCAGCGGCCCCGGGGAGCTCCCGGTTACCGGCTCCCTCGCCCTGCGCTGGGATTGTTTCCGCCCGGTTTGGCGGCGAGTGGAACGAACCGGTTTTGGGTCCTGATTCAATAAAATGGAACGTTTTGGAGCTCCCTGCCGCCGACCGGGACCGGGGCGAGGGGAAAGAACCGGGACGAGGGGAAGAACTGGGCGCGGGTGGGAAGGGCAGGACCGGGACCGGGTGGGAGGGGAAGGATCGGAGGAGAACCGGACCCGGGGGCAGCCCCCGGTTTGGAGGGGGCCTGAGGGTGCCCCGTTTCGGGGGGACACGGGAGCTGCCCTATTGGGGGGGGGGGGGAAGGGCAGGGATACCGGGGCGCTGTTGGGGGCACCGGGCGCCCAACCGGGAGCGCTGGGCACAGGCGCGCGGCGGACAGCCCCCGGCGGGGTCCTCGGGCGCCGGCCCCGCTGGGACGCTACTGCGCAGGCGCGGCGGCGGGGTCCTGGGGAGCAGGCGCAGCGACGGGCAGCCCCGCGGGGTCCTCGGGCCGGCACCGGGAGCGGGACGGGGGCGGCCATGTTGGGCCGGGGGGCGGCGGGGGGCTGCGGCCTGGTGCTGCGGGCGGCCAGCCGGGCCCTGAGCCTCAGCCACGGCCGGGTGAGGGCCGCGGGGGGCTGCCGGGGCTCCCGGGGTGCCCGCCTGCACCTCTGGGCCGGGGGGGTGGGGGGCGGAGGTGTCCGCGAGGGGAGCGGGGGGGGTGCAGGGGGCCTGCATAGGGGCGGGGGGTCCCCAGGCGGGCAGCCAGCTCGTCCCCCGCGGGAGAGGCGGGGGGGGTGGGGGGGAGCGAGCCCCACAACCGGCCGGGGGGCCGGGACTCACCCTCCCTCCTGCGCCAGGGCACCGTGGTGGTGGAGCGGTGGTGGAAGGTCCCGCTCAGCAAAGAGGGGCGGCAGCCGCGCCTGCACCCCCGCCGGCACCGTGTCTACCGGCTGCTGGAGGACACCAAGCACCTGCCCAAGACGGACCTGGAGCTGATCCTCACCCAGTCGGTGGACAGTACGTCCCTTCCCCGCGGCCGCTCCCGCCTCAGTCGGTGTCTGCCCTGTTCTGCCTCCCCCTGCGCCGGGGAGAGGCAGGGGTCCCCCCGGCTGGCCCCGTGTCCAGCGATCCGCTGGCAGCAGGGATCCACCCCTCAGACCCTGCGATGGTTTAGGGTTGCAGAGCCCTGAAACCAATAATTCTGTGGCATTTCGGGTCTCTTGTTTTTTTTTTTTTTAACTTCCTTCAGATGGAATGTCAAAGCTGGCGCTTCTCCGGCACGCGCCTCACTAACGTCCCCTCTCCTCGCAGATTTGGGGAACCGGGGGGACTTGGTCAGCGTGAAGAAATCCCTGGGTCGTAACAAGCTCCTGCCACAGGGGTTGGCTGTCTACGCCTCGCCGGAGAACAAGAAGATGTTTGAGGAGGAGAAGAAGGTGAGTTGGCACGAAGGGGCTGCTCCCGGGGTGTTTTTAGCTTTGAAATCAGGAGAACTTAAGGAGCAGAGAGTTTGCTTTCAAAGGGCCGGTTGCTCTTTGGGCTCATCCCTGCCTCCCTCCGCCCGCGCATTTGTGATTTCGTGGGGTGAGATGTGCCAATTGCCCTAGAAATACCGTCCCACCACGAGCCCCGCTCGTTGATAAATCCCTCTGCAGCGTTTGCGATGACGGGAGAGCCTTCCTCTCGCTTATTCTCCTCCATCCTCTTCCCCTTGCAGCTGCGCCAAGAGGGGAAACTGGAGGTGATGCAGACCTGGAGCGGGGAGAGGGTGAGTGGGGGGGCACCGGCGAGTCTGGAGTTGTTCTGGAGAAATTCCCGAGTCCTGGGAAGAGCTCAAAGCTTCAGCCGGAGTGCCGGGAGCCCTCTGCCCCCAGCTGCAGCTCGAGCAGGGGCTGCCTGCGCGCGGGTGGGGGGCCGGGGCTCCCCGGGACCTTGCTGACCCCCGCACTCTCCCCGCCACCTTCCTCCCGCCTTTACAGACCATCAAGTTCCTCAAGGGCTGCCGCCTCGAGGTGGGCATGAAAAACAACATCAAGTGGGAGCTGAACAACGAAATCGTGGCTCGTCACTTCTTCAAAAACGTGAGCGGTGCTCCCCGGCGTTGCCGGGGCTGGGGGGGTCCCTGCGCGTGAGCAGAGCTGCTTGGGGGGGCCCCAAATCCCGAGGGGGGGATGTTGCTGAGGGGGTTGGAGGAGCCAGCGGCGCGTTCGGGGCTCGGTGGGGCACGTGCTGAGCGCGGCTCAGCAGAGGGTTTAAAACCTTAAAGGGATTAAGAAGGGAAGATGGTAAATCAGGGGATGAGCCCATGGCACGCGCTGGGGGCCGGGCAGTTCTGCCCTGGCTGTTCTGGGGGGCCCAGGAAGGGGCTGGGGAGGCGGGGGGGGGGCTCGCTGCCCCCCCAACTGTCCCTCCCGGGGCCTCGTGGTGTTTCTCAGCTGCGGGTCTTCGTGCCCCCCCACGCGCTGAAGCTGCCCGCCGAGCCCATCACCAGGTGGGGCGAGTACTGGTGCGACGTGACGGTGAGCCACTGCCCGGGGCCCTGACACCGCGGCCCCCCCCCTTCTCCCCACGACCCCTCCCCACGTCCCACGGGGCTCCCACGCCAGCTCCCCAGCCCAGTGCCCCCACCAGAGAAACCCTGAGCCGAGCTGGCGGTGCCTGTCCTCCAGCACAGGGAGGGCTGCGAGGAGCAGAAATGCTTTATTTTTAAAAAAAAAAAAAAAAGCCAACGCCAAAAACACATTAAAAAAAAAAAAAAAAACACCACCAAACCATGAGCAAGAGCCCCCCCCACCCCGCGACCTAGTTAGAGGAGCGCGGCTCCTCGCCCGCCGCCATTCGCCTTTTGTCCTTCCCGGCGCGGGGCCGGCTCCCAGCCCGTGTCACTGCCGCCTCGGCTCCCGCTTCCTTCGCTGTGCCCGGCCCTGGGCGCGCGCAGGGAGGGGAGGGGGCTCGTCCCATGTCCGTCCGTCCGTCCGTCCCCCCGCGCTCGGATCCCACTGGGATTTCGGGATGGAGCTCCCCTGGGCCCGGGTCGGGGAGAGAAGCGAGAGCGGCCGCAAGCCGGAGCGCAGCAACGGCCCCCCGCCCCCGCCAGGGGGTCACGGGGTGCTGCTGAGGGGGTGGCAGGGGGGGTCCCCCTCTCCTGACACCCCCCCCCCGGTGCCGCAGGTGAACGGGCTGGAGACCGTCCGGGTGCCCATGGACGTGGTGAACTTCCTGCGCCCCAAAACCAAACGCTACAAGCACTGGCTGGCCCAGCAGCAGGCCCGGCTGGCGGCACAGAGGGAGACGCTGCTCTGAGCCGGGGGGGCCCCCCAGGATCCCCCCAGTGTGCCCGGCACCGGCTTGGTACCGGCAGGCACTGGGGGGAATGGCGGGGGGGTTCCCCTGCCATGGATGGAGGGGGGTCCCCTGGGGCTGAGCTGTTTCTGTACCCACTAAAGAGCTGGGGGGGGGGGGGGGGGGCCATGCAGGAGGGTTCCTGTACCCCCCCAGCCCCCCCCCCCCCCCCCCCCAGAGCTCTGGGTGACGCTACAGCAGCACCCAGTGTGGGGTGTCACCGCCTGGGATTGGGGTGAGACCCCCCCCCCCTCAGGGTGCCGACCCCCCCAGCTCCTCCTGGATCCGCCGCGGCAGCTCCGGCTGCGAGAAGTACCCTGGGGGGGGGGGGGGCGGGGGGTGAGTGGGCGGCTGGGACCCCCCCCACACACCCCCCAGCCATGGGGACCCCCCGGCCCCCCCTCACCTGCAGCAAACTCCGGGATGTTGGTCGGTTGATGGAGCAGCAGCTCCCTGGAAGATGGGGGGGGCACAGGGGTTTGGGGGGGAAAGGGGGTGTTTTGATGTGCTTTCCCACGATGGAAAATGGGTGTTTTTATCTTCTGCTAATTGAGGTGTTTTTGTGAAATTCCTCGGGGGGGGGTGGGGTGGGGTGGGTGGGATGGGGGAATGTGTCTCACCTGAGGAACCCCCGCAGCAGCAGCCGGACCCCCGGGTGGGCCCGCAGGTACCTCTCGCTGCTCAGGCGGAGCGTGGGCTGGGAACACAGACACACGACACTGTCACCAGTGGGCTGGCCCACGCAGGACCCCACCCCAACAACAACAACCCCCCCCACCCCCCCCCGAGCACTGTGGGGTGCCGCAGCCGCACTGCCATGGGGGGGGGTCACCACACCCACCTGCCCTGTGTCCCCCCCGCGTGTGCCCGTGTCCCCACGGGGTGTGTGGGTGCGTGTGCACCCTCGTGGGTGCGTGTGCCCCCCCCCCACCCCCCACCCCGGCACCTCATGGGGACGCGGCGGCGGTTGCGGCGACGCCATCTTGGCTGCGCCCGTTGCAGCCCGTCGCCATGGCAACGGCGGGGGGGGGGGGGTGAGACCCGGCCGTGGGGGGGGTGGGTAGGGGGGGTGACACGGGGGGGTCCCCGCTGTGCAGCGTGTCCGTGGGTCCGTGCCCCGGCGGCTCCTGGCGCTCAGCACCGGGGACAGCGGCGCCGGGCGGCAGCGGGGGGGGGGGGGGACGGGACACACGGGACACAGGGCCACGCGGGGACGGGCACACGCACGGACAGACGGACACACACACGCTCCCCTGCGTGTACACACGGACACGCGTGCGCACACAACAGCCCTTCTGCACACGCGTGAGCGCGGCCGCCGTGCGCACACACACACGCACACCCCCCCCCCCCCCCCCCCCCCCCGTGTTTGTGACGCCCCCACGGCCGCTCCCGGTGCCGGTTCCCGGTGCCGGTTCCCCCCGGTTCCCGGTGCCGCTCTGACATCAGCGCCGGGCGGGGCGGGGCGGGGCGGCCGCAACCGGGGAAGAAAAGCGGCGAAGCGGGGTCGGGCCGTGCCGGTGCCGGTGCCGGTTACCGGGGCGCAGCGGGCGCGGGGCTCGGGGAGCGCGGCCGCCATGGGCCGGGCCGGGCGCTGAGGCCCCCCCCCCCCCCCCCGGTACCGAGCCCCCTCCCCCGGGGGCAGCGGGGCGGCGAGCGGGCGGTACCGGCGGGCCGGGCGCTGACGGCAGCCGCCGGGATTCGGGGACCGTCGCACGGGAGGCCCCTTCGGGAAACCGCCGGGACCTACCGGGAGCGCCGCCCCCCGGGCAGAGCTGCCCCCGCCCCGCCGCGCCCCGTCCCCGGAGCCGAGCCGAGCCCCGGGGCCGCCTCGTCCTTTGTGTGCGCCGCGACCGGGCCGGCACCGGGCACCGGGCACCGGCAGCCGCAACCGGCAGCCGAGCCCGGGCGGTGGGAGCGGCTCCGGCAGCGCTACCGGGAGCCGCACCGAGCACCGGGAGCGGCCCCGGGGCCCGGCCCCCCCCCCCGGCGGCCCCATGAAGGAGCCCGACGCCATCAAACTCTTCGTGGGGCAGATCCCGCGGCACCTGGAGGAGAAGGACCTGAAACCGATCTTCGAGCAGTTCGGGAAGATCTACGAGCTCACCGTCATCAAGGACAAGTACACCGGCATGCACAAAGGTACCGGCACCGGCACCGGGCGGCGGCAGCGCAGCCCTGGGGAACGGGGAGCGGGAGCTGGGGACGGCCGCAGGCCCCGGGAACGGCCCCACCGGGCACGGCCCCGGGCGCGGCCCCACGGACAGCCCCGAGCACCGGGCACCGGGCACAGCCCCCGGCCCCACGGACAGCCCCGAGCACCGGGCGCGGCCCCACGGACAGCCCCGGGCACCGGGCACAGCCCGCGGCCCCACGGACAGCCCCGAGCACCGGGCACAGCCCCCGGCCCCACGGACAGCCCCGAGCACCGGGCGCGGCCCCACGGACAGCCCCGGGCACCGGGCACAGCCCGCGGCCCCACGGACAGCCCCGAGCACCGGGCACAGCCCCCGGCCCCACGGACAGCCCCGAGCACAGCCCCACATACGGCCCCTGATAGCGGGCACAGCCCCACGGGCAGCCGGAGGCCCACCCACGGCTCAACCCACAGCCGCAGGCCCCACGCGCAGCCCCACGCACGGCTCCGGCCCGGGTGCTGGCGCAGCCCCGGGCACTGGGTACAACCCACGGCGGGTGGCGGGGTGGCGGGGGCGCGCCCGTGGGCGCTGGGGGGAAGCCACGCGGGTGCGGGTGTTGGGGGGTGGGGTGTTGCGTCCAGGGGTCGCGTGGGTGCGGGGTGTTGCACGGCCGCCCGTGGGTGTTTGCGCGGGTGCGGGGGGCGGCGGTGCCGGCGCAGGGTGTTGTGTGGGTGGGTGTTTGCGGTGCTGGGTGACAGGTGTGGGCTGGGGGGGGGGGGGGGGGGGTCACGGGGGGGGGGTGTGCGGCGGCGGTGGCAGGGCTGTGCTGCCCACGGGGGGGGCTGTCCAAGGCAGGGACCCCCCCCCGGTGCCTGACCCCCACCCCCGGCACAGGTGGGGGGGACCCTGGAGCCCCCCGGGACAGGCGGGGGGAGGCCAAGGCGGGTGCAGGCCCGGGGTGGGGGTGACGGGCAACCCCGACAGTGGAACTGGGGGGTCTTGGGGCTGCTACCCCCCCCCCCCGCGGCTGAGGCTGCCCCGGCCCTGGGGACCTCGGGGACCCCTCCCTGGCCCCCCGCCTGCGCCCGCCAAGGGTCCCTGGGGTGTCACCACCCTGAAATGGGGGGTCTGGGTGCTGTAGGGGGGGCATCGGGAGTGGGTGCTGTAGGGGGGTCTGGGTGCTACAAGGGGCCGTGGGCTGTGGGTGCTATAGGGCATCTGGGTGCTCTGTGGGTGCAGGGGCCGTGGGGGTCCTGCCCCCCCCCCCCCACTGCCCCCCATTCCATTTCCCACCCCCCCCCCCCCCCCAGGATGCGCCTTCCTGACCTACTGCGCCCGCGAGTCGGCCCTGAAGGCGCAGAGCGCCCTGCACGAGCAGAAAACCCTCCCGGGGGTGAGTGGGGACCCCCCCCGCGCCGGGACCCCCCCACCAGGGACCCCTCCCACTCTGGGACCCCCCCACCCATGACACCCCCACGCTGGGACCCCCACTCCCCGGTCCCCTGCCCTTGGGAGGACCCGGGTGTCCGGGATCCCACCTTCGGGTGGGTGGGTTGGGGGGGGCACCCCACGAACATCTGCCGGGGGGGGGGGAAAGATGGGGGGGGGGGGGGGGGCCACCGCGTTGCCTGGAGACGGGCGGGCGCTAACGAGGGCCTGGCGCTAACGAAGCGTTGCCAGGCGAGCGGCGGGCACTGGGCAGCTGAGCTAACAAAGCCGGGGGGGCCGGGGGGGGCGATCCAGGCGTCTGGGTGCCCCCCACCCCCCCATTACAGCTGGGGTGCTGGGGGGGGGGTGTCCCAGCACCCAGGTGTGTGTTTTGTCCCCGCCCCCATCATGGGTGCTGGGGGACCAGGGTGACTGAGGCCCCGTGGGGGTGGTTTGGGGGGGGGGGTGTCCCAGGTGTGTGTGTGTGGGGTAGTTTGGGGGTGCCCCCCCCCCCGGGCTGCGCGTGTCCCGCCAGCCCCGGGGGAGATTTGGCTTCGCCAGGATAATCCGGGGATTTGGGGGCCGTAAATCCCGGGGGGGATTTGTTGGGGGGGGGCAGCGGAGGGGGGGGGATTAGGGGCGGCACCGCCCCGACCGCTGCCCCCACCTCCCCGCGATGGCCGCAGGACCCCCCCGAACCACCCCCCCCCGGCCTTGGGGCGCGATGCCAGGGAGGTCCCGGGGAAATTTGGGGTTTTGGGTGCCTGATGCCACCCCCCAGCCCCCCCCCCCGCCCCGGCCGGGGCTGATCCCGGCCCCGCGGAGGATTAGGGGGGATTAGTGCCCCCCCCGGGGGGGCATTTCCAGCACCATCTGGGGCGGGGGGGGGGCACCTTCGCTTTCAGCGGGGGGAAGGGGCCGCCTGGGGTCAGCTGGGGCCGAACCCGCCCCCGGCTCCCCCGGGATGGGGCGCGGCGCCCCCCCGTCCCCCCGCCCGCATCCCCCCCGTCCCCCCCCAGGGCCCGGGCCCATCCCCGGGGAGGGAGGGGCGGGGTCACAGCAGGCCTGGGGGTCCCCCCCTGCCCTGGCCCCCCCCAAAATCTCCATTCCCCCCCCCCCATCCCCGTCATTGTTTATAGCGAGCGCTGATGATGTCAGCGGCGTTGCCGGGCAACCGGGATGGGTAAATTGGGGATGAGTAGGCGGTTGCCATGGAGCATATTCTGCCGTTGCCATGGTTACCGGGCATCTGCGCCCTCCCCGCCCCCCCCCCCGGTCTCTGGGGGTTACAGGGCTGGGAGGGGGGCGGGGGTGGGTTCATCCCCCCCAAAATAACGGGGGGGGGGGTGGTGGGTGCTCGTTACTGCGTCATTGGGGTCCCTCAGGCCCCCCCCATGGCGGTTGCCGCGGCACCCGTTGCCGGGTAACGGGATGCAAGACCAGGGTTGCCATGGTGACAGGAGCATCTTTGGGGTGCGGGGAGGGGGGGGGGGCTGGGGTGTATCTGTGCACCTACCGTGGGGGGGTCCCTGCGGCGGGGTGGGGGGGGCTGTGTCCCCATCCCCCCTCTGTCCCCCCCAGATGAACCGGCCCATCCAGGTGAAGCCGGCGGACAGTGAGAGCCGAGGAGGTACCGGCACCCCGAAACCCGGCCCACCCCCCGGCCCTGTGTCCCCAACCCCGCCCCGTGCCCCCTCCATGACCCCATGGTCCCCCCATATCCATCCCTGGCACGGGTGTCAGCCAGGCGTGGGGTTCCCCCCCCAGGGTGGGGTGTCCCCATCACTGTCCCCCCTCCACGTCCCCATTCCCAGGGGGGGTGTCCCCAGCCCGGGGGGGGGGGTGTCCCCATTCCTGGCGGGTCCCAGCCCATCCCAACAGCCCCATATCCCTGTCCCCGGGTCCCAGCCCAACCCAGTGTCCCCGGGTTTGGGGGTCCCTGCCCAGTCTGTGTGCGGGGGGGTGGGGGTGTCCCCCCGCCCCGGTGTCCCCGCGCCACCCCCCCGTCCCCGCAGAGGACCGCAAGCTCTTCGTGGGGATGCTGAGCAAGCAGCAGGCGGACGAGGACGTGCGCAAGATGTTCGAGCCCTTCGGCACCATCGACGAGTGCACGGTGCTGCGCGGCCCCGATGGCACCAGCAAAGGTGGGGCGAGGGGGTGGCCCGGCCCCCGTGGGGGGGTGGGGGGTGTCCCCCCATCCCTGTCCCCGTGCTGACCCGCTGTCCCCAGGCTGCGCCTTCGTCAAGTTCCAGAGCCACGCGGAGGCCCAGGCCGCCATCGCCGCCCTCCACGGGAGCCGCACCTTGCCGGTGAGATGGGCGCCGCCAGGCACTGCACCCCCCCCCCCCGTCCTCACCACCTTCATCATCATCCTCATCGCCATCATCATCGCCACCCGCGTCACTGTCCCCATCATCATTATCCCTGTCATCACCCTCATTGTCCCCATCAACACCATCATCATCATCCCCGCCATCACCCCCATCATCATCACCCTCACCACCGTCTTCATCCTCACCATCATCATCCCCGCCATAATTGTCCATCATCACCTTCATCATCATTCCCCCCTACCATCGTCCTCATCATTGTCCCCCTCATCACTGTCCCCATCCCCATCACTGGCCCCACCATCATCACCCCCACCATTGTCCTCATCCCCGTCATCATCATCCCCGTCATCGTCATCCCCACCATCATCTTCATCATCATCCCCATCATCGTCATCCCCACCATCATCTTCATCATCATCCCCGTCATCGTCATCCCCACCATCGTCTTCATCATCATCCCCGTCATCATCATCCCCATCATCGTCTTCCCCACCATCGTCTTCATCCTCATCCCCGTCATCGTCATCCCCACCATCATCTTCATCATCATCCCCGTCATCGTCATCCCCACCATCATCTTCATCATCATCCCCGTCATCGTCTTCATCCTCATCGTCTTCATCATCATCCCCACCATCGTCTTCATCATCATTGGCCCCACCATCATCTTCATCTTCCCCACCACCGTCTTCATCATCATCCTCGCCATCATCATCCCCACCATAGTCCTCCACCATCGGCCCCCGCCGTCGGCCCCCCCGTTGCGCGCCGGGGGTCCCAGCAGCCGGGCGTGGGTGCCCCCCCGTGACGCCGTGGCCCCTCGCAGGGTGCCTCCTCCAGCCTGGTGGTGAAGTTCGCGGACACGGAGAAGGAGCGGGGCCTGCGGCGGATGCAGCAGGTCGCCAGCCAGCTGGGCATGTTCAGCCCCATCGCCCTCCAGTTCGGGGCCTACAGCGCCTACACGCAGGCGGTAGGGTGGGGGCGGGGGGGCGGCAGGTGCCTGGGGGTGGCCACTGGGAGGAGGTGACCCCCCCGGGCGTGGCCGGGGCAGCGGGGTGGTGGGTGCTGGGGTGCCGGAGGCTGGGGGACGGGGATAGACCCCAGGGTCCCAAACGGGGGCCCTGGGGTGACAGGTAAGGGGGAGGGTGATGGGCCCCCCAATCCAGGGGGGGGGGCACTGGGTGGTGGGTGCTGGGGTGGTGCCCCCAGTCCAGGAGGGGACAGTGGTGTGAGAGACACTGGGGGGTGCCGGGTCTCCGTGGGGACACTGGGGTGATACGTGGGGGGGGGGAGAGTCACGGGGAGGCGCCGGGTCTCTGTGGGGACCCCGGGGTGATGTGGGGGGGGGGGGACAGTCATGGGGAGGCGCTGGGTCTCCGTGGGGACCCCGGGGTGATGTGTGTGTGGGGGGGACAGTCACGGGGAGGTGCTGGGTCTCCGTGGGGACACTGGGGTGATGCATGGGGGGGGGACAGTCACGGGGAGGCGCCGGGTCTCCCAGTCCGGGGGCGGTGGCACCGGCTGGGATCCGCCAGGCGATGACCCACCCCGGTGCCGGGGTGGGGTGCCGGGCGTCGGTGGCCGGTGGGACACCCGGAGGTTGTCCCTCGGCGGGGGGGGGTCGCTGCGGGGGGGGCGCCGGGGGCAGCGGCCGGTGCCCGGTGCCAGGCGCTGTCCCCGCAGCTGATGCAGCAGCAGGCGGCCCTGGTGGCCGCCCACTCGGCCTACCTCAGCCCCATGGCCACCATGGCCGTCCAGATGCAGCACATGGGCACGGTCAACCCCAACGGGCTCATCGCCACCCCCCTGCCCCCCTCCTCAGGTAGGTGCCGCCCACCGGGGGTGGGGGCGCCTGGGAATGGGGGACACCGGGGATGGGGAGGCGGGGGTGCGGGGGGACACCCAGACGTGGGGGGGACATCAGGGATGCCCAGGGATGGGGGGACACGGTGGGGTGGCGCTGGGAGGTGGGGCACCTCCGGATGGGGACATCAGGGTGGGGGCAATGGGAACAGAGGTGTGGGGACACGGGGGGGGGGACACGGGACACAAGGGATGGGGACACGGGGGGGGGCAGCGGGAGATGAGGGGCACCGGGGAATGGGGACCCCCCGGGATGGGACAGGGACAGGGTGGCACCGGGGGTGAAGTCACGGCGGAGGCACCACGGGCTGGGGACGCCGGGATGGGGGGCCCGAAGGCGGGGGGGGGGGGTCGGGCACGGCGGGGGGGTGAGGAGGTGCCGGTGTCCCTGCAGGAACCAGCACGCCGCCGGCCATGGCCGCCACGCCGGTGCCCGCCATCGCGGCCCCGCTCAGCGTCAACGGCTACAGCCCGGTGCCGGCGCAGCCCGCGGGACCCCCCGCCCCCGAGGCCGTCTACGCTGGCGGGGTCCCCCCCTTCCCAGGTGCCCCCCGCGCCCCCCCTGCCCCCCCGCCACCCCCGCCCCCCCTAACAGCCCCCTCTGCCCCCCAGCCCAGAGCCCCGCCGCCCCCGGGGACCCCCTGCAGCAAGCCTACGCCGGCATGCAGCACTACACAGGTCTGGCCCCGGGGAGCTGGGGGTGCTGGGGAGGGGGGGGCGTTGCATGGCACGGGTGGGTACTGGGAGGGCAGCGGGGGGGGCACTGTGCGGGACTGGGGGCACTGGGAGGGGACTGGGGGGCATGGCATGGGACTGGTGGGTACCGGGAGGCACTAGAGGGGCATTGAGTGGCGCTGGTGGGTAGTGGGAAGGTACTGGGGGGGCACTGGGGGGCACTGGGGGGCACTGGGGGGCACTGGAGGGAGATTGATTAGCACTGAGAGACCAGTAGGGAAACCACTGCTTGGCATCGGGGGGGGGGTGTGGGGCTCAGGGGGGGCACTGGGGGGACACTGGGATGCTGGGGAGGTACGGGGGGGGCACTGCATGGCCCTCGGGTGGCACCACGGAGTGCTGGGAGGGCACTGGGGGGGCACTGGGGGGCACTGGCAAGGGCCGGGGGGTGTGGGGGTGCTGACCCCGTCTCCCCCCACAGCCGCCTACCCGGCAGCCTACGGGCTGGTGAGCCCGGCCTTCGCCCCCCCGGGGCCCCTGCTCGCCCCCCCGCCCCCCCCGCAGCAGCAGCAGCGCGAAGGTGAGCACACCCCGGGGACCCCCCTCCCTCCCCCCGGGACCCCCGACCCCCAGGGGACCCTCCCGGGGCGCTGGGCTTGGGGTGCCCCGGGGCATGGGGGGGCGGGGAGGGGTTGGAGGTGCCCCAGGGGGGTTGTTGGGGTCCCCCCTCCCCAGAGTCCTGGGGGTGTCCAGTTGGGGTTTTTTTGGTCCCCACCAAGGAGGGGGCGTTTGGGGCTCGGGAGGCCCATGGGGACGTGGGTTTCGGGGTGTCCGTGACGGGGGCCAGGGTCCCCACGGGTGCATGGGGCCAAGTTTCGGGGTGCCCGTGGGCGCGTGGGGCAGGTTGGGGGGCGCGGGGCCGGTGCCGCCCCCCCCCCCCCCCCCCCCCCCCCATTCCCGCTGTGACGCCGCTCCCTCCGCAGGCCCCGAGGGCTGTAACATCTTCATCTACCACCTGCCCCAGGAGTTCGCCGACACCGAGATCCTCCAGATGTTCCTGCCCTTCGGCAACGTCATCTCCGCCAAGGTCTTCGTGGACCGCGCCACCAACCAGAGCAAGTGCTTCGGTAGGGCCACCGCGGGCTGGGGACACGGGGGACAGCACGGCCAGGGCACGGGGACAGCGTGGCCGGGAGCACCGTGGCCAAGGAAGCCATGGCTGGGGAGGCCACGGCCAAGAACAGCATGGTCAGGGCCACCATGGTCAGGGCACGGGGACACCCCGGTCGGGGCACGGGGACACCCTGGCCTGGCCATGGGGACATTCCAGCCAGGGACACCACAGCTGGGGCCACCATGGCCAGGGGATGGGGACATCATGGCCAAGAACACCACGGCCAGGGCGTGGGGACACCCCAGCCAGGTCCCACAGGGCCCCCCTGCCCCATGGCAGAGCCCCCCAGGGCCGTGGGGCAGCGGCAGGGGAGGGTTGTGGCCACCCGCCGTCCCTGATGTCCCCAACGTCGTCCCCCCCGTGCCCCCCCCCCAGGCTTCGTGAGCTTTGACAACCCGGCCAGCGCGCAGGCGGCCATCCAGGCCATGAACGGCTTCCAGATCGGGATGAAGCGCCTCAAGGTGCAGCTCAAGAGGCCCAAAGACGCCAACCGGCCGTACTGAGCCCGGTGAGCCCCCCCGGGACCCCCCCCGGACCCCCCCTGGGCCCCCCTCGCCCAGGAGCTCCACCTGCCCCCTCCCAGCGCTGCCTAATGCCCCCCATCTTCCCCCCCAACCAGGTCCGGAGGCTCTGGAGCAGCACCCTTGGGTGCTTCCCTATTGCAGAGCAGCCCCCCCCCCAGTGGTGCCCGCAGGGGGCTCGGTCCTGCTGGGGGGGGGACACAGACCCCCACATGCTCAGGAAGGATGGACCCCCCCTCCAGGACTGAGCTGGACCCTTCCCCGTCCATCCCAGTCCAGGCAGGGCTGGGTGGACCCTGGGTGCCAGCACCCCCTCCAGCATCCGGGTCCAATCTGCCCTGGGGGAGCACCCACCCCTACCCCCACCCCCCCAAAAAACCCCCAGCTCCCCACAGGGCCCTGCCCCCCCCCCCCCGGGGGACTCTGCTTGGAGCTTTTTTCTCACCAAACAGGACCAAAACCAGCTCCAAGCCAGGGAGGGGGGGCTCCCACTGAGGGGGGGGACACACACCCGCGGTTGGGGGTACCGGCCCCGGCACCGCCACCCCCCCACCCCCAGGTCCCCTGGGTGGCCGTGCCAGGGCGCAGCGGGACCCCCTCCCCGACACACACTGCCACCCCGCTTCGCCCCCCCTCCACCCCCCCCCACCCCAACCTGCCTCAGTTTCCCCCCGCCCTTCCCTCGCCCACGGGCACCCACGGCTGCACCAGCACCAGGGCGGGGGGGGGGGCCGCACCCCCCCGGCACGGCCACGGCCGGGGCGCAGCGGCCGCCCCGCGGACACGGCGCAGCCGGAATCGGGGTGCTGCAACGGGCCGGGGAGGGGCCGGGGCCGGGCCCCGCCGGCCACAAACCAGCCAAATCCGGGAGCCCCCGGGACCCGGCGGGGGCCGCCGCAGCCGGACGGACGCACGGACGCGCCGGACGGACACGCGGCGGCCAAGCCCGGGGTGCGCCGGGCACCCACCAGCCAAACCGGGGCCGTGTCCGGCCCCGCAGCCCCCCCGGCCGGGGCCGGTGCCCCCCCGGCATCCCCCCACGTTTACACCCGCCGCTCCCCGCTGTAAATAAGGTGGTTGGGGGGCGCGGGGGCCGGGTCTCTCTCTCTTTCCCCCCCTTTTGGGGGGTTTGGTACCTGCTGAGTTGATTTAGGGGGTGGGACGGGGTGGGGGGCGCGGGGCTGTTAGCGCGGGGGGGGGACGCAGACCCCCGGGAGTTGACGTCTGCGGTTGACACGCCGCCGCTTAACTTATTTGCTATTTATTGCAGTTACTTTGGATAATTTAATTTTTTTCTTTTTTTTTTTTTTTCTGTCTAAATAAAATAAGTTAAAAAAAAAATTATAACGCTTAAAGGAGACTTTAAAGCCCCCCCCAGCCCCCCCGCAGTGGTACTGGGATGGGAGGGTGGGAGGGAGGGGGGGGAAGCATCAGCCCCAGCACCCGCGGGGAAGGAGCACAGCCACAGTTCCCAGTAGTTTCATCAATAAATCAATTTATTTAAAAGAATATGTTACAATTAATTACACTAAGTGACTTTACCAAACAACCGGCGTGGTTAGAGACCGAGGAATGAAACACCGGGAGCAGCTGGGGGAGGGAAGGGGGGGGGAGCTGCTTTTTTTTTCCTTCCTCTTCTTACAGGTTTTGTTTTTTTTTTGTTTTTTTTTGGTTTTTTTTTGACGTTTTCTTCACATTTCTGACTCACAAATAAAAAATACAAGCTACTGCAGCGAAAAGACAATTAGAGTTCTCTCAAATAAATTAAAGAGGATGTGGATGGCAGCGAAATCGGGACGGGACACACACACACGCGCACACGTTTCACCGGCTCCAGCTCGAACAGGGTCACGGGTGGGATTATTGCTGAGACCTGCCCCTTTCGTGCCACTGATGGGCCCGGTGCCGGGGATGCGGGGGGGGCGGGGGGGGGCACATCTCTCAAAGCCCCCCCGGGGCCTCCAGCAGCACAGGGGCCCCGGGGGGGGGGCACAGACACGGCCGAGCTCAAATCCCAAAATTCCTCCGTTCCTGGGCTACAGAACGCCCCGCCCCGCCCCGCCCCGCCCCGCCGGGGGATCCCCCCCTCCCGCCGGGAATTTCACCCCAAAACCGGGCGGGGGGTGGGGAGAGCGGCAGCTCGGTGATGGGGCAGCGCTGGGGCACCGCGCCCCCCCCCCCCGGTTTGGATTTTACATCGATTTTTTGCTTCCTCCCCCCCCGCAGCCCCGGGGAGGGAGCGGAGCGGAGGCCCCCCCGGCCCCGCCGAGCCCCCCCCGGGCCCGGCCCGCCGCGGGGCTCAACCCCCCAAAAACGGGCAAAACGGGCAAAACGGGCAAAAGGGGCATCGCCTCCCTCCCCTCCGGCCCCAACGCTCCGCACCCCCGGGGGGGCAGCAGCACCAGCACCTCCCAAATCTCACAAACCCCATCCCAAACCCAAGGCTCCCCGCGGGGGGGGCTGCGCAGGAGCCCCACACCTGCTCAAAAGCAGCTTTTCTGCCTTATTTCTGCCGGCGGGCGCTGCCGGAGCTGCGGGCAGAGCCCTGGGGCGGCTGCGGGAACCCCGCGCTCCCCCCTCCCCGCCCCGGCCCCGGGGACAGACCTGGCACCCGCCGCCGGGCTCCCCCCGGCCCCGGTCGCTCGGAGCCCGCGTGAAACCACCCAGAACCGAACCGAAACACAGGGGAAAAAAAAGAAAGTCAGGCAAGAGCTTGTAAACGTGTAGAGGTCCTTGTGCCAGGAGAGGTATTTCCCTGTAATGTTGCCCTTTTTTTTTTTTTTTTTTTTTTTTCTCCTTTTTTTCTGTTTTTTATACTTTTTTTTTTCCTCTAAAGTTAGTTTTTAAAAAAACACAATGGGTGAGGAGGAGAGATGCGTGTAAAAACGCAAGCTTAAAAAAGGTACTGCCACCGATATGAAATTTTAAAAGAAATATATATATGTCTATACGTGCACAGTATTTGTATATATAGCTTTTTAGGGGCGGTTGGTTGGGGTTTTTTTTACATACATACATATATATGTCTGAACAGTGCAAATGGATGACGCTTCTAGTTCCAGTTGTAAAAAATCCAAGCCCAGTCCACCCTTGGGCCAGGACCCAAGGGGAGGGAGGAGGCTGAGCGCCCTCGGGCACTCCCTCTGCCATCCAACGCTTTTTCCCCCCTTTTCTCGGCCGAGCCTGCCATTTATCCTAGTTGCTTAATTCCATAAACATGAAGTTCACAAATGGTATTATTATTAATAATATTTAGTTTAAGGGCTTTAATACAATAACAGAATTATAAGTGTTAATTGGGGGAGGGGGGGGTTACGTTCTTCCGTGGCGAGGGGCTAAGTGGCCGCGTCCCTCTGCTGTGACCTGACCATCTGAAAGATATTCTGGAAGAGAAGAAAAAGGACATTAAGAGCGCGCAGCCAGGCGGGAGGAGGGGGGCTCGCCTTCCTGCTGGGCCCGGGCTGCGCTGGGGGGGCCCGGGGTGCCCCGGGGGGGTCTGGCCGGGACCCAGCCCCAAGCGAGGGGCTCCCGCCGGGCAGACGGCCCCCAGACACCCGCCTCCAGCTCCCCCCCCCCCCCCCACCGACCAGTAACGGCCCCCAGGCTGCCCCCGAGCCAGCTCGGGGAGCCAAACCCCATCCTGCACCCCCGAGAGGCCTCCCAGTGATGCTCCGGGGGCCCTCCCCCCCCCCGTGCCGCTGGGATGCCTGTCGCACACCAGCCGGTTCCCCTTCCCCGTGCCAAGGGCTCCGGGGGCGCACAGGCCTTGGCTCAACCCGGTGCTGAGAGCTGGGGAAAAACTGGGGAAAAACCTGGGGAAAAAGCCAGGTCTTAGAGGAGCCGGGGGGGGATTTCAACCCCGGTGCCCAGGGCGGGATTTGCGGCGGCCCCGGGGCGAGCGGCAGGATGTGGGGAAGGGAGGTTTGGGGGTGATTCTGCTGCCCTCCGCTCCCGGGGGGGACGGTCCTGCTGCAGCCCACGCGTGCGCTCCCCTGTCCTCGGCGCAGGACCCCATCTCTGCTGACGGCTTCAGGGCAGAGCCCCCCGCCGGCCCCGCTGCCCGGGGGGGGGTTGGCATCACCCGTCGCTACTCCAGCCCGGAGCAGCCCCCCGATAATCCGACCGTCCCGCTCTGCCCACCTCGGCATCGCCCTCCCGGCTGCCCCGCCACACCAGCCAGGACTGGAGCGGTCCCAGCGGATGCTGGGATGCCCCTCGCTTTTGGGGGGAGCCCCCCCGAGCTGAGGGTAGCTGGGGGGTCGGGATGTGCCTGGGCTTGGCTGCTCTGGCTGGAAGGCGTCAATCCAGCAGGCCCCGGCGCTAACGAATTCCCCCCCCTCACACGGGGGGCTGCCCGGGGGAGACAAGTAACACCCTGTGGGAAGCGGCTGGGCCCGGGGCTGGGGCTGGAGCCGAGGAAAGGAGGGCAGGAAGGAGGCCAGGAGCAGCCCTGGGAATGGGGCCGACCCCCCCCAGAAGCCCCGCTCGCTCCCAGCTCCACCAGCTCCCCTCCCCCTAGAAAAGGGCCACAGGCTGCAAATAACCCAAATTACGCCTGCGAGAGCTGAGGCGAGCCGAGCAGCGGCTCAGCTCTGGCGAGAGGAGGCTGGAGCCGTTTCCCCGTGTGCCCCCCCTGCCCCGGCTCGGCGACGGGGGGGCACCGGTGACTGCCCTGCGCCCCGCCGCAACGTCTCCCTCCCACAACTTCACCCACAAGGTCCGAGCCACCCCGGCGTCCCCAAACAGAGCTTGTCACCTGCAGCAAGCCAGCCTCACCCTCCAAGCAGCCCTGCACACCTCAGCCCCTCCGAAGGGCCACGCCAGGGTCACCGCGTCCCCTCCGTGCCCGGCCCCGGGGGTCCAACACCCAGCAGGGCTCTTATTTCTCGGCGAGACGGCGGCTCGGCTACGCCTCAGACCTGCTCTTCCTGAGCACACCCAGCGCTATCAGCCAGCATCTGCGGTCTGGGAGGCAAGTCAGCAGTTTACAGAGCACTAAATATACCGGCAAACTATCTGCCAAATCCCATCAATCTTTTTATTTGACACCGGGGAGAGAAAATTACCAAGCGACCGGTCTGAAGTATTCCTGCTCTGGGAACAACCTTCCCTGCCCTAACGCCGGCGAGGGGAGCGGCGGGAAGAGGCAGCACTGGGGGGGACAGGCTGTGTGCCCAAGGGAGGTGTGGGGGGACGAGCCACAGGAGCTGCAGCCAAGGGCTTCTCTCCTTATACCCAGTGAGATCACGCAGACGCACACAAACTGAATGGGAGGAAAATCTATTTCCCTGCCAGGGAAGTGATAGGATGCTTAGTGCCGAGGAACAAGCGGTTTCGGAGGGAAGGAAAAGCAATTCCCCCGGTGTCCATTTCCAGATCCATTATCGCGGCCCCAGGAAGAGGCGTCAGGGGCTGCGGGGAAGGGGTGATGCTCGGCCAGCGCTGCCAGCCGCTCCTCGACGCGCCCGCGCCAGGAAGCAGCACCGAGCCCGGCGCAACCCGCAGCCGGTTCCCACGCCGGCCCGGCTCCCAGCGAGGGCACAGGCTGCTCCTCGCAGCTTCTGCCGCCTCGGGAGGCTGCGGCGCGGAGCCCCCGGCCTGGTTCCAGCACCCTGCTGGCTCCTTGGCACGGCCGTGCCCGTGCCGACTGCGGCAACCCCCCCCGCGGCTCTGCCGCCCGCCGCAGCCTCCTCCTCCTCCCCGGAGGGAACAGGCTCGCCGGCTGCTGGGGATAAGCCAGGGACAAGTTTTAATCAGCCCCTGGGAGCCGGCAGCTCCTGCCCTGCCCCAGCTCAAGCAGGCCCTTTGACTTCCAGAGCCAGACAATCCTTGGCCCCTTCCCACGGGCCCACCCCCAGCAAGGTGAGGAAAAGCAGAGCCCCAGCGCGGCCGAGGCAAACTGTGGCTCTTTGTTTCTGCAGGGCTGCGAGCGGCACGAGCGAATCCCTCTCGGTGTCTCCAGGCTTTGTAGAGAAGACATCAAACGCCCGCCTTTACGTTTGAAGGGGCAACAGAGGAACCCACGCGCGACTGTGCACACAAAGCCTCTGCCCGCTCCTCCTCGAGCACGCAGCAGGCGCTCGCCCTTCGGGGCGAGAGGGGTTACCCCAGCGCGATCGCGGGGAGCGTTATCGTGCAGGATCTGTTTGGCAGAGGAAGTATTACAGAGGGCGGGAGGCTCCCACACCCCCGCCTTTCACGGCTCCTTCCTCAACGGGTGACACATCCCACACCGTCTGCTACAGCTCTCTGCTCAGCCAGACAGCGGCTCCTGCCCTCTTTGATGTCCAACGCTTCCTAGCCGACACACAACCACCAAGAGAAGCACCTACCAGTACCGCTGGGGTTAACAACTTTCAGCCTCGCTCCACGCAGCTGCACTTTCTCTCTTACAAGTTAAATAACCTGCAGCTATTTCCGATGCCTGAGCAAAGAAGTAAAATTTGAAGGGGGAGTCGGGCAGAGCGCTGCGTCCACGGTGATGGACCAGCTCACGCAGAGGCACCGCACGCACCACGGAGCCGGGGCGCCGCGCGCCCCGTCGCGCCAACGCTACGGCAAGGGTGCCCCCACAAAAGCCTGCGAGGGCACCGACACCCTGGAGACGGGCAGGCAACGTTCTCAGGTGCTGCCCGGAGCAACTGGAAGCGTTTCGCTTTAAATCCTGCCCGGGCTTACCGTGCAGACGGGCGGGCAGAGCGCAGCAGCAGGAGGAGGGCGGCGCGTTCCGAAGGTGCCACGACACAAGCGGGTTTGCTCCCTGCTATCACAGCGGCGCTGAGAACGGCATCGGTCAATCCCTACAGGTCTTTGCCCCACCGCTGCAGAGCAACAAGAGGGAAAACCCACGCGCCCCGAGCCTGCCGCTCGCCAGATCGTGTCTCTGGTCCTTCACAAGGAGCCAGAGCCGAAGCGTCCGTCCCCTTCGCAGCCCTGCCCCGTCCCCTCCGCCGGCGCGCTCGGACGCGGCCGTCAGCCTCCCGGGGACGGGCACGGCAGGACCTCCTCTGGAAAGAGCCCTCCGAGCACCAAGAGCCGTCCCCGGCCCGTGAAAAGCAGCCGGAGGGGATGTCAGCCTGCGGGCTCCTCCGAGGGGACGGCGCTACGGACGGACAGTGCCCGGCGCGAACGAGACCGGGAGCAGAGAAGCAGGAGACGCACTGCGTCCGCAGCAGAGCAGCCCGACTGGCTCAGAGAGCACAGATGCTGTTTGTTCTCGGCCCGATTACCTCGCTGCACATACTGTCTTTGCTGCAGTTCTTGTTATCCTTGTCTGTTGCTTCCTCCTCCACCTTTGCAAGGGAAAAAAATAAAAAGGGTATGAATAAAAAATCAGCGCCGGGGGTGGGGATGGGAGGAGACGGAACAGCTGGAGTTGGAGCATCGGGAGCCGGGATGCTCCACAGAAGCCGGAGGCGGGGAGCTACGGTGGAGCTGGGATTCAGGGAACGAGCCAGGCGACCCGCGCGGACAGCTTCTACTGCAGGAACCGAGAGCCACGAAGGCTTTGCTCCTCGGGGGGACGGAGGTGTCACCCCCACCTGGGACAGAGACCCCACACCCACGGTCCTCGGCTCTGCAGGGGAGACTCCGGTGCTTTGCGAAGCCCAACTGTGCAACCACGCGCCCTGGGGGCTCTTGGCCTCCCTCCTGCAGGGCTCAGGGCTGGGACAAAGCGGGTTTGGGCTCCGGGGGGGTCCTGATGCTGCTCCTGCAACCGTCCACCAGATAGACAGGCTGACCTGGGGCCCCGCAGCACAGTCCAGCACCAGCGGGTCTCCTCGTCCCTGCCTGCCGGTCCCCGGTCACTCGGGGGAGGTTCAGCTTCCGCCCCTCAGGCAAGCCAAGAATCCCATCTTCTTATTTCCTGGAAAACTCTTCCAGGTTCACACTCCTCCATCCTGCTGTTCAACGTCCTCTGGCGAGCGTGGCTGCCGTGCTCCAGGCCCTGCACCGTGCCCCCCGCGCCGCGCGGTGCCAGCCCTGGAGCCTGAGCACAAGCACCAACACCCCGGCCGCGGGCGATGCCCGGCAGGCAGGGAGCTTCCAGCTAAGTAAGGGAAGGGGAAGGCATCGCTCCCGTCTAGGAGCCTCCACCACCAGGCAGCTGCAGGGCACGTTCTCCTGGGTCCCCGTTTCAGACTCGCCGTGTTCAAGCCCTGGTTTAGGTCCCCGGGTCCATCAGCTGGCAGAGACAAGCCGCCAGCAGCAAGGGGAGGGCTGGTGCCAACAGCACCCATCAGATCAAGAGCAACAAGAGAGGATCCGACCTCCAGCGAGGGAGAGCAGCATCTGTGGGACAGCGGGGACACGGGACGGCGATCCCGCAGCCACGCAGGGGCGAACGCAGGCCGGGGCACCGCGGGGCCGGCCGAGCCAGCCGACTGCCCGCGGCTTTTCTAGCTGCTGCCTCCTCCCCGCGAGCGAAGCCGAGGGGAGCAGTCCCTGGGGACGGCAGATGCGGGGCAACCCCGAGGAGGAGCAGCAGATGGGACGCAAGGTGACAAAACGTCTCCCTCGAGTGGGAGGAGAGGACAGGGAAGCGCAGCGGTGGGGCTGGAGGAGGCAGGGCGGGCTGGCTCGCGCGCATCTCCCCACCCGGGGCTCAGAGCCAGGTCTAAAGCGCAGCTTTGACAGGAGGCTGAGCAGGCACCTCAGGCTGTGATTCAGGAAAAAAAAACAAACCAAACCAAAACAACAATCCACCCCGAAACCTTCCTGTAGCTCTCAGCAGCTTTTTGCTGGGGGCTCGCCCAACCCTTTCTGACTAACTCAGCAGCCTGCACAGTCTCTCCCGAGAACGGACGATTTGCCACCTGCATTCGGCAGCGGCGCCGCCGCACCGCCTGGGCTCGGGGTACCCCGGGCAGGCGCACCCGCGCGAGGCTCTCCCACACCGGCAGCTCCTCGCTGCGGCGGCAGCACGGAACACCCTCCACCCGCAGAGCCCAACCCCGCACTCCCCAGGGACCCGGCCTCGCCGCTCGGAGCACCCGGTTACTCCCCGCGCGAGCTGCTGGGAAGGGCCAGGCAGAAATGCTCGCCGCCTGCGAAAGGTGAAGCCGTTTCCCTGCGGTTCCGGGCCCTTACCTCCTTCCTCCACTTGAGCTCGCAGAAAACCCGTTCGAAGCATTCATGCATGTAGTTGAACTGCAAAGAGAAAGGGGCGGCTCTGAGGGCAGCGAGCAGCCCCGGCCTCCAGCCCCCCCCCCCCCGGCTTCCAGCCGCCCCGGCTCCGGTTGCCAGCCCGGAGCTCCCCGCGCTTCGGGCTCCTCCTGGTGGCCGCCGTCCCTTGTGTCACCTCCCGCCCCGAAACCGGAGCACTGGGTGCTCCTCCAGCTTCCCTGGGGGGAAAATCAGCAGGCTCTGGGCTTTTCCTCAGCCAATCTGCAGAGCGCGGGGGTACTTACGTAGGGGGTGAAGATTTTAACCCATCGGGGTTTCTTCTCTCCTCGTGCGTATTCGAAACAAAACGCCATTCCCTCCTCGTCCGTGTCCCACCGCTGCATTTCGTCCCATTCGAATGCTATTACCTGGTTCTGGAGGCAGAGGAGACCCCGGTGAGGCCAGAGCCCAGCAGGCTCCCAGGACGGGGGGGGGGGGGTTAAGGCAGATCAGGTGGCAAAAGCGAAGCCAGGCAGGGGGGGAACGAGGAAGCCTCGGGCAGCCTTGCTGCGGCGAGGGGCGTGAGCCGAGGAAGCAGCGGTGGCCACCCACGCTCACACCCCCGGGCGAAGCCCTGCGCTCCCACCCGCTGCCGAAATCCCTTCGGAGGCCGCTCGGCAGCGGCCCTGAGCCCCAGCGCTTCGGGGACGCGGCGCTGGGGCAAAGCCGAGGTGGAGGCCGGGGGCTGAGCCCAGCGCCCCGGGACCGGAGGGCAGCACCCCCTTACCTCCAGCTGGCCCTCCTCCGTGCAGGCGTGGAGTTTAAAGTGCTTAATGCTGATGGCTGTGATGACATGTCCCTTCCGCCGAGAGTCGCAGGAGCAATGGGGGAAGATGATCTCGTTGTAACCCTCACACGTCCGTAACATGTTTAAATACTGCGGAGAGAAAAAGCCGCAGGGGTTGGCTTGCTCGGGGGAAGGGAAGGGCACCCCCGCTCCCTCCTGCTCCCTACCTTGCCTCCACCTCTTGCAAGCCCTAGTGCTAAGAGCTGCCCCCTTGGAAACCCCTGGCTTTGCCCCAGCCCAGGGAGGCTGGATCCCCTCCAAAGGAAACCAAAACCCCGGAGGAGGCAGCAGGGCTGTGCCAGGGGAAAGGAGGAGAGCCCTCCAGCTGCTCAGTCCCCCTCCCCAAACCGTGGACCCAGCCGGGCAGAGGTACGCCCAGAGCCCCTCGCAGCCTCCCCCGCCAAAAGCCCCTCCCAGGAGAGCTGGTGCCGCCCGAGTCACCGCCGATCAGCGCCACCGATCAGCGCGACCGTGCTCCCCGGGAGGGCGGGGGCCGGCACCCGCGCACCGCTCCCGCCAGAGCCACCCCCGCCCGACCGCGGGCCCAGAAAAAGAGGCGGCGGGGCAGATGTGGCATCCGGGATTCTCGGAGTCCCTCGTGCAAATGCTACAACCCATTAAAAGGCCCAAAGAGGAATTTGGGCTAGTTCTTCCTTTCTGAGCCCTGCGGCCTCTCGCCGCACGAGAAAGGTTTACACAGGGCAGAACTGCAACAAAGCCTGAAGTGACGTTTTAGTGGGGAACAAGCCACATCCAGACTGGAGGAAGGGGCCAAATCCTCCAGCGTTGTGCTCCAGGCAGGACCCGTAATAACATGGGGAGGTAGAGGATGAAATACTTGGACTTCCCAGGCTCGTTGGGACACAGATGTCATCTTCTTGAGTTCCTGCTAGACCAAGGCCCTGCTGCACCTGGTATGCATGTGTGTGTGTGTCTATATATATTTATAAATGCTGGGATATACCCTTTCCAAAGATTCAGATCTTTCTTTGGCCATTACAAAGCCAGTGAGAGGACCAGAACCAAAACATCCACGAGATAACCCACAGAAGGAAGCGACTATTTACTGATCCTTACCATTAGTTAATAATTAACCCCCTTGGCTTAGCACTTCAGGTGACCCTTGCGGGGTGTGCCCCAAGGCAGTGCCCCCACCAGGGACCCCCAGAGCTACCGCAGCCAAACCAGCTTCGAGGGGAGGCCCGACCACGGCCAGCCGAGCTGGAGAAGGGGATCCCAAGGCCACTGCTCTGCCAGAGCGGCCACGCTGGCCACGGCAACGCGGGCGAGGTGCAGCGAGCCAGGGAAGGGGCAGCCTGCGTTCCCCAGGTACCAGCAGCCCTGGAAGTTATTTACAAGGCAGATTCTTCTGCTGTTTGATCTTCGAGCCAAGCTCGCGTCTGGCAGATGAGCTCAGGGCATCCCCTTCACCCCCCAGGTCCAAGCCAGGCAGGCTCCTCGAGTCACGCCAAGCCCCCAGGCGTTTGCTGGGCAGGGAGATAAGAGGCAGAAAACCCCTGAGCAGACAGTGAGCTCTGACACGGGATTTGCAATCTGGGAAGACTTCTGCTAGGCAAAAAAAAAACCAAAAACTAAAAAACTAAGGCACCGAGGGGGCAGCAACTCGCATTACGAGCGGGCCGGGCCGGCTCCAGCATCTCAGAGGCAGTGGGAGGCGGACAGGGACCTTTGCCTCTCAGTTACTGGGAAGCAAGAGCCGTCCCCGAAGGGCCGCAGGTGGAGGATTGCTACACCACACGCTGAGCACCTCACCTTTCAACACCGGCAACAACCCCCAGGGTTTGATCGCTGCCTCGTCTGGAGCCGAGTCAAGGGCTGATCTTGCCAAGGACGAGCCGCTGCTCAGCGGCGCCAGGCACGAGGGTTGTTTTGGCTGGGGCGGCGGGCGACCCCCGGGCACGGCCCAGCCCTGCCTGGCGCTCCTGCGCCAAGCCCACACCCTCCTGGCTCTCTTTCCAAGAAAAAGGTGCTTTCCGAGGCTGCGTGCATGGAATGCTTTGGGCTGGGAGGGACCTCAAAGCCCCCCCAGTGCCCCCCCCTGCCCCGGGCAGGGCCCCCTTCCCCCAGCCCAGGGGGCTCCCAGCCCCGTCCAACCTGGCCTTGAACCCTTCCAGGGAGGGGGCAGCCACAGCTGCTCTGGGCACCCGGGGCCAGCGCCTCCAGACACAGCACTGCAAACAGGACAGCTAGGATCACTCACCATGACCATCTTTCTCTGCTCACACAGCTTCTGTAACTGGTAGGACTTCTCCTCCGCTTTGATGTAGCCTTTCTTGACATCATCAACAGCCTAGACAGAAAAAGGGAAAGGGAACCCAGGAGGTCAGACTAGAGGGCTCTTCACTGAGTCGCAATGCTTTGCTTTCCCTGAGGCTGCTCTGACCACCACCCAAACCCACAGCCCCAGAAGGTGACCAACGTCCCCGGCGAGGCAGAGGGATGGAGAGGCCCAAAGAGGTGGCTGTTTGCACTCACTGGCCCGCCTGGGGCCGCATACAGATGCTTAAGGACCTGGGCGGGCTTCGGAAGAATGTCCCCCGGCAGAAGAGGATGGATCTGGAAATGCTGGTACCTGCAATTCTGCTGTTGCCTCCGGGCACAGGTAAGGACAGGCTGGTACCACCCTGCCAACTCCAGACAGAGGCAGAGCTGCCTCCAGCAGAGCAGTGCTGGCTTTTACCCACCCGACTGCTGGCATGCAAATGTATTTTTCCTTTAGGACTCAGCAGGTACACAGCCCCTTCCTTTCACTCCTCAGCTGCACACCCCAGCAAGGACCCCTGCCCCTGGCACAAAGCGGCTTGTAAAGCTGCCAGCCAGTAAAGATCCAGTCTAGGAGATCAAAGAATTTGACAACTATTTTTATTTTAATTTGTACCAGAGGCTGGTACAAGCTCAGTTCAGAGAGTGCTGGGACAGTGTTTTTGGTGGTTGAGACGGAGCAGGACTCATCTTACTGAACTTTGCAGGTATCTACCTCTGAGCTGGTCATCCTAGACCAGGCAATGGGAGAACATGGCCCTTCTGGGACTCATTTCATCTCAGAGAATCCGCATAAAGTGAAATCCCAGGCAGAAGCGTCCCCGCTCCTTAGGCTGGACAGGGAGAAGTCCGCTCCCCACCTTCACTGACACCGCACAGAACTGAAAACCATCCAACCCGAGGAGCGCAGCCGCCCGCGACCCGTTTAGCTGGCTCTGGGAAGGCAGCTTCCCGCTCCGGCCACGGCAGGGCCACACGTCCCCCACGGCGCGGCCGGGCCCCCAGCCGTGGACTGCTACGCCTGGCAGTGACCCGGGCAGGACTGGCCCTGGGCCTCCCGCTCCGCTGCCAGCGCCGAGGGACAGCCGGGCCCTCGCGTCGCCGAAACGGCAGCTTCTGGGCGCCTACCTGGTGGAAGAAGTAGGTGACCGCCAGGTCATTGTCATTGAGAAGAACCTCCTCCTCTGTAGTGAAGAGCCATTTTCGGATGGTCAGGCACGTTCCCGGCACCGCCGAGGTGTAGTTCTGCACGTAGAGTTTGTGGGGAAATTCATTGGGCGCCAGTTTGCGCACTGGAAGAAACGCACGGCACGGAGGTGAGCACACAGCCCCGCGCAGCGGCGGCCGCGGCCCGGCTGCTGCACAGATCAACACCGGCGAAGCCCTTCGCCGCGCCCGCCGGGATCAGGACCCCAGCTCCGCTCCTCCGGACCCAATCCAGCTCTCCCCAACGCCCGCTTCCAGCGCGCCACCCGCGCCGCTGCCTGGCAATCGCCTCGAGTGCAGCGGCGGGAACCTGCGCGGGACTGAACTCTCGGCTGTCGGAGAGCTCGGCACCACGGCCCCACCTCGGCCCCACCTCACCCCCCCGCTGCACCACGGCCCCACCTCGGCCCCGCTGCACCACGGCCCCACCTCGGCCCCCCGCTGCACCACGGCCCCACCTCACCCCCCCGCTGCACCACGGCCCCACCTCGGCCCCCGCTGCACCACAGCCCCACCTCGGCCCCACCTCGGCCCCCCGCTGCACCACGGCCCCACCTCACCCCCCCGCTGCACCACGGCCCCACCTCACCCCCCGCTGCACCACGGCCCCACCTCGGCCCCACCTCGCCCCCCCGCTGCACCACGGCCCCACCTCGGCCCCCCGCTGCACCACGGCCCCACCTCGCCCCCCCGCTGCACCACGGCCCCACCTCACCCCCCCACTGCACCACGGCCCCACCTCGGCCCCCGCTGCACCACGGCCCCACCTCGGCCCCGCTGCACCACGGCCCCACCTCAGCCCCCCCTGCACACAGGGAGATCCACCCTGCCCAAGCCTCGGGATCACAGTGCCCTGGACCTACGCGCTGTCCCCACAGCGTGGGGGGACTGGAGCAGGTCCCCCCGCGCGTTCCCCACAGCGTGGGGGTCTGGAGCAGGTCCCCGCCGTCCCGGCAGGCTGCCCCAGAGCCCGGACAAAACCAGCTGCATTGCTCAGCCAAGCTGGGGCAGCTGGGCCACCAGTGAGCCCCTGTCGAGGCATTTACGGCGCTCAAATCTGCTTTACCCAGCTACGAGGGACAAAGAGGCAAGGGCCAGTGTGCCTCCTTCATCAGGTGGGGATATGGTCACTGTCTTGCTGCAGATGGAGCTGACGGTTTCCAGAGAAATTAAATGGAACGTATCCAGACAGGAATAAATGTGGATGTTCCCGGTGTGTCCAGAAAGCACAAGCCATAAAGGTTTACTGGAGTTTTTATTTTCCAGCACAGTTTGAGAAGGGCAGCACTCAGGAACGATGAGTTAATAGCTCCCGTTAGAAGCTGCCACCCTGAAATTTCCTGCACGAGGCCGTGCCAGCGCGCCACGGCCTCCCGGCTGCCAGGAGCAGGAACTCCTGCCCCCGGCTCCCCGCACAGCCCTGCCTCAGCAACCCCGAAACACGGGGGCCCTGGTCTTCCCCCCCCGTGTCCGTGCCCCGCTCCATCACGCCAGCACCCCGTAACCCCCCCAGAGCCACCACAAACCCGGTGGCAGCGGCAGAGGCCACCACTTTTACGGGAGACTGGTGATGTTGGCTGCCCCAGGGTCAGCACCTGGACCCAGACCCAGCCTGTTCTGTGAGATGAGGCGCTTCGGGAGGGCTTCAAGAAGCTAAAAATCATCCCAGCCATTCAGCCAGAATCTTATGAGAATGAGCGAGAGCCCTAGAAATCTCTTCCTACGAGGCACAGTTTGCAGTAACAACCGCGTGAGTTTGAGGCACAGAGAGATGAAGATCCAGAAATGAAGGTACCCAGCTGGGAATGAGAAATGCACTTGGCTTAAAACCCAGCGGAGGGAAAAAATAAAACACAAACCAACCACGACACCCACTTTGTGGTGCGACCACGACATTCTGGCCTCTCTGCAGCTTCAGCAAACCCGATGTGAGGCTGGGTGAGATCAGAGATTGCTGCGGCCAGCTATCTGAACAGCAGCCAGGAGACCCCGGCACATGCTCAACAGGAAGGATGGCAATTATTTAAGTGCCAAAATGATCGCCCGGAGTCCCACAGTTGAGCCTCAAATCTCATCAGGATTTAACCACGGAAGGAGAGATGAGAATCTAAGACGCAGCTCGCCGTCAGGACCCAGGTACCGCCCCGAGCCCACGTGTGCACAGCCCGAGGGTGCCCTCACTCTGCCCCCCGGTGCCCCCGCTCCGCCCCAGGCCGCTGCCCTCCTCTCCAGAGGCTGCCACGTTGCAGGGACGCTGCCCACTTTTTCTAAGCTCGCCAGACCCTTTGAACTAAAGCAAAACGCGTGGCTCCGCTTCACAAAAAGCTCGTCTCCTCGAGCTGATTAAGAAAGGGAAAGCCGAGCGGCAGCAAAAAAGCCACCGAACTTTGTGGGCTCCTCATTACCAGAGCCTGCTGTGCCCGCCCGGTCCCTGCCGGGGGCTCCTCATTTCGCCAGTAGAGACAAGGCCTAAATGAGAGCGCCACCGGGCCCTGCTAGCGCCGCAGAGCTTTCCCCTCAGTTGCTCGTCAGGGGATGAAGAGACTTACCGAAGGAGTGATTGATCACTTCAAACAAGGCGAAGTAGTTTGCGGTAATACTGTCCATTCCGACCTTCGCAGCCACAGCCTGAGAAGCAACCGAATGGGAAAAGAGGGTGAGAAAACCAGGAGGCACCCGCTGCGGCGCAAGGCTGGCTCCATACAGGTTGTTCCCAAGTATGCCCTAGCCCGAGGTGTTAGTCACCACAGAAAACCGGAATTATACTCTCCCAGCAAAACCAGAGGTTTTCTTAAGCAAGGGCTTCGACTCTCCTGCTTTCACCTTCCCGTAAATTGCTCCAGATTCTAAGCGCCACCATGGCTGATAATTAGGTCACCTTCTCTTCTGATGCCTCCAGCTTCCGCCCCTGGCAGGAGGCGTGCACACCTCCCCCGGGAGCTCCCTACATCAGCGTCAGCCCTGCACGCTGATGCCCCAGCCAGAACTCACGCACCTTGGCAGGGGCGACGCGGAATTCCAGAGGCCGTGTCCCAAACGGGCCCGGTCCTGCCAATCCCACCTACGTGCGGGATTGCGCTGCGCAGGCCTGAGCCCCTGCTCTTTCACAGCCCTCTGCCTCCCTCACTTGCAGCAACAGCTTGAGCTCCCCTGTCAGAAGGGGTCCCCCCTGCATCACCTTGCTCCCCCCAACCCACTGACAGGTTCCACTTTTCCTCCTGCAGCGCAGGAGTCGGTTCTCCTTAGTTTTCCACTTAAAGCGCCGGGCCTCCGGCCACTTGCAAGCCTGTAACCTGGCCAGAGCATCCCCCCAGAGGGTCGCTGCTCTTAACGCTCAACTTGCTGTCCTGCCAGGGAGCCGCTCCTGGGTCCAACTCCTCCACCGCGGCCACTGCAAGCCGCAACACACAATCTGTCTGGCGCTCAGAGCCAGCCGCCAGCTTTAAGATATTATCAGTGAAAATTAACTCAGCGATGGCTCTGTCCTTGCAGCCAAGCCTGCCAGCGAAATCGCCGCCTCAGCACGGCGGGTGGTTAGGGTTTCCTCGCGCCCCTGTCCTCGCGGCTCCGGCAGAGCGGCGTCACTGCTGCCCACCTGCACTCCAGGGGGCAGAGAGAAGCAAGCGGGCGCCTGCGGGGTCCTGGCTAACGCCGAATCATGCCAATCTTCCAGCCGAGGCAAAAAAAAAAAGACATAGCCCACCTGGTACACCTGGTCTGTGGTGCTGTTCTTTTTGACTCTGACTGTCACTGTTGTTATATCTGGTAACGCCACTCGGAGCTCCACGTCCGAGACGCCGTTGTAATTCTGCAGAAGGGAAGGGGAGAGGACAGAAATCAGCGGCACGCAAACCAAGCCCTGAGCTCTATGGAGCATTTATTGTCTCATGCTGGCTAATTAAAATGGTCACTCCTAACGACCCGCTGCTCGGCAAGCCTCAGGAATCCCATCTCAGTCTGCACCAGAGACATTCTGAAAGGAGGCAGATGCGAGCTCTGCTCGGAGACAGGACGCTGAGCAAACCGCTTCAGACCACGCCGGGGCAGGGTTGTCCATTCATGGGTCTGCCAGTGAAGAGCGACAGAGAGCTCTGGGACACGGCAACTACACGCACCACGGAAAGGTTGGAGAAAGAGCAATAGCTGAAGGGCAAACAGAGCTCACTGCTGCTGCCTGCAACTCAGACCTGGGGAGAAGCAAGTCAAACGGACTGCTGCTCAGAGGGCCCGTTGCCTTTCTGGCCAAAGGCTGACGAATACAAACAGCTCGCAGATGCAAAGCTACCTGGGCTGCCACCAGCACAGACACCAGCAGGAAAGTCAGCAAATGTGGGCTTTTTTTTTTTTTTTTGCTGGGTCTCCCCTTGCCAGAGCGCCAGGGTACGCAGCGAGGCCTCGCGGCTGGTTCCGCTCGGCAGCAAAGCCGCCCCCGGCTGCTGCTGTGGGGAGAAGGTTTCCTACGGGCAGGAACAGGCAGCAAACTGCAGCCCTGGGGCTTCTGCCACGGCTTTGTGTTCCACCAGCGCAGGCTTTGGCAGGCGACGCCTCTGCCCCCTGGTCCAGTCCTACCAAGCCTGCGGCCCCTGCAGCGGCAGGTCACGGCAGAGCTCCAGCGCGGTCACCTACAGGCGCCTACCTCATCCGACTCGGACAGGAACTCCTGCATGATGTCGCTCTCCCCAATGACACGTATCGAGCACACTGCGGGGCAGAGAGCGCAGGTTAGTGGGGTGCCCGGGGGGCAGGGGGAGCCCTCCCCCACTCCCGGCACCGGCCCAAAGGCGGCGTGGAAATAAGAACTGTCTGTTCTGCGGGCGGCGTGAAGCACGGGTGGCATCTCCAGCCCGGAAAAACCTTCCCAAAGCAAGTGCTTTCCGGGCTGTATCAGGTGTCCTGGCACGAAGACCGATCCAGCCTGAGCCCCCTACACTGGCAAGCGAACAGCGGGGCTGAGTAACTCACCGAGATATTCCCTGTGGGTGAAATCCAGACCCCAGGCGCACTGCCCACCGGAGCTTTAGACTATACTTACGAGTGGGCAAGAATTTAATAAACAATACTTTTGCCTCTAGGAGAAAAAATTTCTTCCAGAGGGACTGAAACTATTTGGGAATTTAGGCCAGGTTTTCGGCAAATAATTTGGACCCTAACTGTATCGCGTGGCCTCTAAAACGCAACCAGCCTGCCCCCTCCTCCAGCCAGCCTGTAACCGAGGGCAGAGATGAATGAGCTGGGCAAGGCAGGGCTGAGATATCAGTGGGGTGGGGAAAACCTGACCCACGTCCGTCCTCTGGGAAGAGCGGGCTTCACTCCTGGGTGCTGGGCAGGGGAAGAGCCTGTTAAACTCACACACACTAACTGAGCTGCTTCCAGGCAACTAAGAAAGTAAGATAGCACCCCAGGACAAGGGGGCATTGCTGCCCAAATCCCACCTACAGCCTCTGCCCGGCAACACGTGGGGTCAGATCTTTTAGCCAGGCATCCTGATACAGAGAGAAGGTTTTGCATCCACTTTCCCATCATCTGAGCTCAACCTAAAGGAAACCCCTGCTGCAGGCATTACAGTTCTGATTAAAAAGGACCGAAGCGCTCAGCCGCGAGCAAGCTCAGGTTGAGCTGAGCTCCCCTGGTGAGAACAGCCTCGAACACCACGTTCTCCCTGCTCCAAAGCTTCCCTCCTCTTCCTCCTCCCCGTGCTCCCTCATCTCCAAGATTACTGGTGAGCAATATGACACTATAAATAAAAGCTCGTTGTGCATTAAAAAACTAATTATACATGTTGCTGTTGGAAGTGCACTGCAAGCCGGCAGCACATGCATCGTTAAAGCTGTGGCAAGTCTGAGCTCCCCCTCGCCACTTCAGCTGCGAGGTCCAATCCAGCTACAAACGAGCTTCTTTCCCTCACAGGTAAACAAATGCCCGTGAAGTTCTGGACCACCCGTGGGAGGATGCACCCTGAGGATTTGTCTCCCCGCTTGCGAGGAAGGCGGCGCACGCTCCCAGCTCAGTACCTTTCTCCAGGTACTCCTCCAGCCCTCGCCGCCGGGCGTCCAGCTGCTGCTCTGACAAAGAGAACGGCCACTTCCCCGGGAGACGCGGAAAAGTGAAGTTGGCAAATTCCCGTTTCAGGTTCTGGTGCAGGATGGCAAACTCCCGGTACCGCTTCGAGCAGAGCTGGCGGCCCGCCATGTAAACATTGTAGACCTGCAGGGAGGAGAAGAGGCTCACTGGGGTGAGAAAAGCTTTCCAAAGGCAAACCGGTACAGCTCTGCCTCCCTGGGCCCACAGGCAGTGCAAGACTAAATCAGGCGGGTTTGAGCTAGGATGAGAAACTGGTACCAACAGTTAAACACACCACTGCTTGTCCCTGGAGCTGGGGGCCGTCCCAGCTACCACCTCCATCCGACAGCAGCAGGACCAGCCTGAGCTCGAGGCACCTTTCTACTCCAAAAAACCACCCAAACCCTTCGCAGAAGGCCCCGCTGCAGCCGTCACGGCGTTCACCTCGGTCCCGTCCTGCTCACAGGAGGGTCCTCGTGATGCACCAAGAGCCTCGTCCCCTTCCCCATGCACTCGACGCTACTGCTGAACTTCCAGCCTGCTGCAGAATTGAGCCCCACGTTGCAGCCAAAGTCCCCGAGCTCGGGATTCAGGTTCGTGGCTACTTCCCCCGAGACACAGAGAGGTCCCAGGCCGAGCAGGAGGCTTGGTTTGTGTCTGGACGCAGCCCCTGGCAGCCGTCAGGGGCAGATCCCAGCCACGGGGCAGATCCCAGGGGAGCGGCAGCGAGAAATCTTTTAGGAAAATCCCATGTTAACTAGTTTCTTCCCTACGCACGCACTCTTCCAGTTTCATTCTGGGCACCGTTAGGGCGACAGGACTCTGGTCCCGAACAGGGGAAACCCGGAGCAGAGTCCCGGTCGCAGGACGTTTCTCAGCACCGCGATGCTCTTCGGGGAATTCCCTTCCCATCCATTAACCAGCCGCCTCCATTTGTGAAGTCAGTCTGCTCAGTCTTGCAGGCAAGTTAAACAAGCTCTTATCTAGGCATTGCTGACGTGCCCTCAGCGATAAGGAGGTCCCAAACAGCAGCGCTACCTGAATTAGCTTCACCCGAGGAAACGGATGCAGTGGGGAGGAGAGCAGGTTCGTGCTTTTTCACGTTGCACAAGGGATGTGTTTGGAACCGCAACCTTTCCTCCTGAGGAGAGGAGCATCACCCTCCGCCGTCCTCGCGAGGCCGAAGGGCTGGCACAGCACAGAGGTGGAGTCTGGCAAGAGACACGTGTCGAAGACGCACCGAGGGCAGCTTCAGCAGCAGCCAGAACACTCGGCCCCCCAGGGGAGGGCCCGGCGCAGCCCCAGCTCACTCACCCACCACGTCTGCGCTCCAGACGCCCGCCTGACAACCTTCACAGGGGGAAGGCGCTCCAGCAAACACACAGCTTTTTCCTTAAGAAGCAGCATGCGTTCAGCCCTTCGCACCAGCTCAAGAGACGCTGGGATGGGGCTGGATCCAAACAGCAGCAGGTACTGGCAGTCTGGAGAAGAGGCTCCCTGCGGAGCCGCGGACGAACGACACGCCAAGACGGGTTCAGTGTGGGTGATAGAGCATCAATCACCGTGTGTCTTTATTGGTCCAGGGTACATATATTTATACAGACAATGATAATTATTATGCCCACTAGTCACTAGCTGATTGGATTAAGCTCTAAAGGTCGTATTCGCACAGTCCACCTACTTGCAGTTAGCTAGCAGCACAAGCTTCTCATAACACTAAGTTTCTCATGTTACTATTTCTAATTCCTCTTGACTTGTTTTCGATACACAACAGTGCCATAACACAATGTTTCTCAGACCACCGTTACCCTAACACTGGGTTTCTCAGACCACCGTTACCCTAACACTGGGTTTCTCAGACCACTATTCCTAATTCCCCTTAACCTGTTTTCGACACACCACGGTACACAAGGCCGAAGCGTCCTTGACATTCCTCCTGTATCAGCAGCTGCAAGCAGCTGCAGGCAAACCCTAGTGAGGCCCAGCATCAGCAGCTAGAGCAGGCTCTGATCATACAACTGCTCGGTGGGCTCAGGACCCTTGTCTCTGAGCCATTCTCCAACAGCTCCCTTTGGCCCTCCCTGCACTGTGCTGCTTGAAAAACCTCTGGCTTCTGGGACCCTTCTCCGGCCCCACGCGGTACGCCTGGCCCGGCAGCCTCCCGCCAGGGCTGGGAGAGCAGGGCACAGGGGATGCACGTGCTCCCTGCGAGGCTGCAAGGATCCCGTCTGACCCCTTCAGAGACAGACAGACTGACATGTTGAAGTGGCAGGCTTTGCACAGGAGCCGGACTCTTCTGTGGATCTGAGCGCCGGGGAACCCTCTCCACCATTCCTCACACACACACACGCTGCTCCTGCAACGCCGACGCTGGATCCTTGGGAAAATGCCTCCGTCCTCAGCTGGGAGAGGAAAAAGTGATGAGCCAGCTCGTCATCTGCCTCCTGGCACTTCACACAACCACGTGGTCGTGTCCCGAGGGCGACTGCTCCAGCCAAGCCCCCCTCCCAGCCTGGGAGGGCGAGGAGAGCCAGCGCAGGGCACAAAGCTTCCAGCCACGAGTCAAAGCAGCGGCGTAACTAAAACGCCCGACACTCGCCACCTCACCGTCCGCCCCCACCCACGGCCGCACAGTTCCCTGGCTCTGGAAAAACGAAGACAGCACAGAGAGCCACGGGAAAACACGGGCCAGACGTGTAGGACTGTGCTCCTCACAATAAGCAGCTATTTGCAGGGGGAAGAATACCGCTCTTGTGGCAGGCTGCTGTCTCCACCAGCCGAGGCTCAGCTGCCGGCACCGCCGGCCCTCGCCACAGCTCCGAGCAGCGGCCGGCAGCAAGCCGGGGCAACCCGGAGAGTCTGCAAGCCCAGCATCTGTGAACACTGCGCAGCCAGGCAAGGAGGCAGAAGAGCTAAGCAAGGCCAGGCCGACCGAGGAGGTGAAACACGCCCCAAACGTTGCAAGAAGAAACAGTTCTGCAGATCAGTGTCCTTGTCCAACCTGCTTTGGGTCCCTCTCCAAACATTTCCCTGCCAGCCACCCCCAGTGAGCCAGAATCAACCTTAAACCTCGGAGGATGCGCCCATGACAGATCACGTTATCCAGGAAAACGACTGCCGGCCTCCCCAGTAAGTGCAACAGAAGAGGCAGAGAACCCAAAGGAAAAAGTCTTTTTACAGCTCTTTCCCTTGACGTTCCCTGAAGGGGAAAAAATCCTGGAGATGGGAAACTATGCTTCAAGACATCTGTTCCCTTTGCTTTTACATCTATCACAGATGTCCTTCACACTTGCTGTAAAACAGGAGATACAAGTATGAAAGCTTATAAGAACAAAATAATAACTTCCTACTTAATCTTCACAAGAGATCAAGCTATTGCAGATACATTAATAAAAAAGCTTCCCAGCACATAAGAAACAGCTGCAAAACTAAAACCAAGCACAGTGAGAATGAAGACGGGGCAAGCCTAAATAAGAGAGCGTCACAAACAGTCAGTAATAAACGAACATGCCTCCGTCCTGAAGACAAACAGAGGGTGTTGCTACCGAGCGTCGCTAACAGCGAGGAGCCTGCCAGCTCGGGGCGCAGAGGTCCAGGAAACGCTGTCCAAGCTGATACTAACCACAAACTTCTCGCCGTTCTGCTCCACGTGCTTGTACGTGGGGATGGAGATGGGCACAGCTTGTTTTTCCGTGTAGTCGTAGAATGACTGCCCCAAAGAGTCATCGCTGGGATCCAGATTATCTGCCTCGTGGGGAGGCACGGACAGCACCGTCAGAATTAACTCCTTCTCTCCTGCACGAATCAGGTCCACCACTTGCTTGTGTGTTGCTCCTTCGACGTTCACCCCGTTCCTGGGAAAGAGAAAGCAGAGGGGCCATAAGCAAAGCCGAGGTGGCTGCAGGGCCTTCCAACCACGCCAGGACCAGCCCAGAGATCCGTCACGTATCTGCTCCCCTCGAAAATCCCCCCAGCCCCAACTGCCCTGGCTGCTCCAGTTTCGCTCTGGTCTGAACTTCATTCATTTTTCCTGTTGATGATTTATTGGGTTATTAGTTACTGAATTATGTTTAACAATTACAGACACAGCTAAAACTTCTTTGGAAGGTTCCTGCACCCCCTCCAATATTTAAAACAGGTTTTGCAGCTTTTACCATTTCTCAGTGGTATGACACGGCATGTTTGCATCCAGAACGTGAGCCTTTTCCCATCAGCAAATGCAAGGAGATGGCAGAACTGGGGAGGAAAACACTGAACGCACAGTACCTACTATTCCGCTAGCCCACCCCCCGATCCTCTGCAGCTCCAAAACAGAAATGGATTTCCCTGAACCTGAATTGAAGCTTGCAGGCGAACGGGAAGGAGAAAGCAGGCAAGGAGGCTCAGAGAGCAAAGGTAAGTGATTTCAGAAGCTGGTGCTCCCACCCACCGAGACACAGCCCCCACGAGCACCCCTGCTCGGGTGCAGCGCAGGCGACGCGCGCTCACTTCGGTTACTTCCAGGCAAACTGCAGCGCGTTGCCCCAGAGAGCCCGGGAGCACTGCTACAGCCAGTCACGGTTTCTGCTTCCCAAATTGCCCCAACCTGATCACAAGAGCCCATCCTCAGGGAAGCTCTGAAGGCCCCAGACCTACCCCAGCCACCTCTAGAGCATTCCTGACATTCCTGCTCTCCCCACAGCTCGGTTAACCATCGCTTGGCTCTTGCTTTGCCCAGGAGATACGGACCGTACCTCGGCCAGCCTGGGAGGACGCTGGCCCTAGGACTTAATCTCAAAGCAAAGAGAGCTGTTAGGTTCTCTTCCAAATCTGGTAAAGGACAAGCCTGTTTTTCCTCCTGATAAGAGCTAAATTTAGTAGTGAGTCCCCATAAACTTTCAGGCATCACAAGCGTCTCTGTGAGGAGTCTGGTATCCAAAACATTCCCTGCACAAACAGGAAGGGGCAGAGCTTCACCCAGGGCTCCCGACCAGCCAGCCCAGCCACGCGCTCGCCCAGCCCACGGCTCCTGGGGGACGACGGGTCCCCTCCACCTCTGCTCCCCAAGCAGCTGCCTGGGACGGGCTGGAACAAACCCGCCACGGCGCTTCCCACCGCTGCTGAAGCAACACCAGCAACCACACCACAACCACAATTTGTCTTCACTCACACCTGGGAATTTCTCCACCAGTAAGCCCAGTGTCGCCCTTATTCCGTGCTGCTGGCTACGGCCATTACCTGCTGCTTCAGAGGAGTGCAAGAGGAGAGCAGCCTGCACTTTCCCAGCCACAAATCCTGACTGTGCAGGGAGAGAAAGGGCTCTCAGTTACTCCCTCTGGCAACCAGCTACTCCCGCCCCGAGCCTGGGAACAGACTGTCATCATCTTGCCGCCAAAGACGTAGTACTGGTCACAGAATCACCCCAGCTTGCCTTAAATCAAGTGCGGGATTTAGCTTTCAATCCCCAGCTCTCAAATGAAAGAGAGCAGCCCTTACCGCTTCACATCGATCATTTTTTTATTGAATTTTTACTTAGAAAAGTCGCCCTGGAAGGGTCTGATCTCAACCTACAAATCTAGGAGAGGGACGCCAGGCTCTGAACCAAGTTTAAAAAGCCCCGAGCGGCGCTCGCGAGCCAGCGTCAGCGCCTGCACTTTGCCAGGAGTTGGACAAGAACACTTCCCCCCGGTTATCAGCCCTCCTAGAGCTCCCAGGGGAGGGGGGAGGAGGCAGCCCTCGGACGGACGGACGCAGCCCCCAAAGCAGCAAATTCAGTCGCGGGGCACAGCCCTCATCACTGCGTCACGCCGTTAGCCACCGACGCTGTCACACTAACGCGACGCTCGCGTCTGCTCCACCTGACCGATGCTCACGTGCCGCTCGCTTACCCCAGATCCCTTCCACTCGCCTCGAATAAACCAGGCTGCGAAGTCCTGCAGCGCCGCTGCCGGGTGTGGGTTTTGGTGGGTGGGGATGAACCGCCGGAGGCTGCGGTCAGGCGGAGCGGGCTGCTGTTTGCCCGCACCGGGAGGGACGGCGGCCAAAGCAGCGCTCCTCCGCCTGCCCCAGCCCTGCCCCACGAGAGAAGGACCAAGGCAGGGGAGTGGAGTCACCATCCCGCGCTCGCCCTTGAGCCCATCTCCAGCCGGCAGCAGGGGCTCCTGGACCACCCAGGCTGCAGGACGCGCTGCTTAGTCTGCAGAAGCCAAGGCTGGTTTTCAGTTACTCAGCCCAGGTTCTCAGCTTAACTCCCCATCAGCAAAGACCTCAGGCACCGCGCCTTCCCTCCCGCCAACCGACCCAGAACAAACCCACTGCTGGTCTCCTCCTCTTCCTCTCCCACACCCTCCTCAGCCTCTGGCGACTTCTGCTGCCACCCATTTCCTCCCCGAGCCCACACCAAACCCCGGGAGGGGGTGAGGACGGGGCCCGGGACTCCCGGCAATCAGACTGCAATGCATCATTTCATTCACAAAAAAACCCGGTGACACCCACGGCCAGCTCGCCCCTCCAAGATCAGCCGCTGCTTTCGGAGCAGCCCCGCTCGGCCCCCGCCCTGCGGCGCGGGGGGAAGGAGCAGCCGGTGCCGCAGGCGCGCGGGGCCAGAGGACTCGCACCTTTGCAATAAAGTCACCATAGCAACTCGGGCTGGAATCATCCTTGACGAACCGCCGAAGAAAGGGAACGGTAAATCATACGACAAGAGGCAAGTCAGGAGCAGCCGGCAAGGCGAGAGGAGCACAGCCGAGCTGCTCGCGTGGCCACAGACCTGCGGGATCCGAGGGCCAAATACACTTTCCCCAAGACGACGGGACACTCGGGTACTTTGTGCCTCAAGCTTCTGCCTCCGCTTGGAGTTGGAAAAAAGACCCAGGCATTACGTTAACCTTTCCAGGGGACACGCACAGTCCCAGAGAGGGCGGCTGGGTCCCTCCACACCTTACGGGAAGGGCATCCAGACACAACAGCGGCCCACGGCAACCAGGTCCAACAAATCCTTCCGTCCACGAAGGCGGTACTGCAGACCACACACGGCTCTCTCCTGCACGGGATGGGAAACAGAAGAGAACTCTAGTCAAGGTGGAGCAACCCGCTGCAGGATGGAAACCACGGCTGGGCACACGCAACCCCCAGCAAGCTCTGCCAGACTTCAGCGGCACTCGAAGAGCAACTTCCTCCAGCAAATCACTTCCCTCAGATCTCCACCACCAAATGTGGATGTGGTTACACCAGGAGCACGAGGTTCTGGCACCTTCCACTGCAGGACGGTGGGCAAGCCTCCTTCCCTTGGCACCTGGCCTCCTCTTCGCCTCGCCGGGGAAGCGAGCTGCCTCGCAGGGGGGTTCCCACAGGAAAGCTCCGAAGTCGGGGGGGCTGGAGCTGCTCAGTGCACTGCTGGCCTGGGCAACGCGAAGCCTCCTCACGCTGTCCCCCCCGGCAGGGGCACCCCCCTCCAAACAGGGCTGCAAGGGGCTCCCGAATGCTCTCGCCATCCCCCAGGGAGCTGGGAAGAAGCCGTTGTCCTCCTGGTGCTGGGTAGGGTTGGTCTAGCTCAATACTCCCCGTGACTAAGGGCTCGCACCGGCTGAGCTGCGGACAACATAACCCCAAAGCCCTCGTTACGGCGTCTCCGAGGGCAATCATCTCACCGCGGCAGAGGGAGCACCCGCCCGTGCCGCGGCCCAGCACCACGCCGAAGCTGCCTGCCCAGACAGGCCTGGGCTGAGGCTCCGGACTGTGACCCGAGGCAGCGGCACGCTCCGCCGCCCGCCGGCACCACTGCCAGGGCAGAAGCCCTGGCACGCGCGGGGCGAGACCAGGCGCTGCCAGCCTCGGCGCTCGCCCGGTGCTACGGCGGAAGCCACGCTCCGGGAATTACGACAGGTTATGCTTAACAAAAGATCTTCAGCCTGTGGTTCGGCAAGCTCCTACCGCAAAAAATACATGCTGGGGGGCAGAGCAGACTGGTGTTTGTTCACCGTAATGAATTTCAAAGCCTCTCTGAGGCTGAGTTTCCAAAGCACCAGGCCAAAGATGGGGAGCGGTGGCTGCAGGCTGGCACGGTCCCCTGGCTGGAAGGAGGATGAGATGCTGCAGCACCCCACTCGCTCCTCCAAACCTGCTCTCTACACCAGCACAGTGCGGAAAACATCTCACCAGCAGCGTCTGAACCCAGGGACACCTACCAGCAAGTGCTCTCGGCAAGAACAGGAACTGCCGGCAAACTCCGGGAGACCCTGCGGATGAAGCCTGCGTTCAACAAAGCAAAATTCCCCACCCTGCTGACACTAACAAGCAAGATCCTCGAGACACAGAGAAGAACATTTCACTTCTCCCATTTGTACATCGAATGACTCATTTTCTGCAAAGACTTCTTAAAATTTCCCAACTATCTGTCTGTCAAGAGATGACAAGGAAATTTACTGCAAGAAAGTCTGCAATAAGCTTCCTGGAGATTAAGACCACGGCCTGCCTTTGTGCTTTGTTCAGGCAAGGTATTGGCCAAGCTGACAAACCGTCCGAGAAAAAACACCCCAGAAATGACTCGAGTCATCTTTAAGGCTTTGCTTTTTGGCAGATGAGCACCTCCAGCCACCCCACGCTATCAGCAGGGCCGCCACGGCAAAGCACGGGTCAGAGCTCTCCCATCCCAGCGTGACAAAACCAGGCTGGCAAGAGCCTCGCCGTGTAGACGTGGCCTCCGAAGCGGGACCGGCAGCAGCTAGCACACCACAACTTCTGGAGTCACCCGCCCCTTAACGGGGACAGTCTGCCAAGTCCCCAGCGCTTTGCATCTTCCAGCTCCCGCTCTGTGCAGGGCTGTACCTTAAGCCCATAAAATTCAATACGTCACCAAGAAGCTCCCTGCACTCCT